TTGCAGGCAAATTCTCTGCATAATAATGGTGGACTGCTTTTGCTGTTTATTCTTTTTAAATTGTGATAACATTGTATTCTCACAATTTAGAAAACTTCAATAAGAATTTCTATCTTGCATGATTGCTGAATTTCATTTGGAGAGTAAGATGTGCAATTAAAGCTGAGTATAGTCTGTGATAAATTTTGTCTGTACAGTCGTCAGTCAGTGTTGAGTGCAACGTGTGTCCACATTTTCTCCAAAACTGTTCGTTGACTGTTTTAACCATACAGCAAAAATAATAGATCTTTCTTGGAATAAAAGCAGTTTATTTTCCAACTAAAAATTCTTACAGAGCATCTGACAGTCATGAAACATTTCAGTGGGTTTCCTACGCTTAGTTAACAGGAAATGGCACATAGAATTTTAACACCAGATCGCTGTAGAGTTTATTTAGTGGATGAGAAAACTAAAACTTGAAGACAGGAAGTGACTTGCTTGAGGTTACAGCAATAATTCAGGACAGAGATCAATTTAATGATAGATGGCATCCAGGAAAGAGCATGGTACTTGCTGCATTTTGTGCTCTGTGATAATAGTACCTTTATAGCTTATTTAAATAGTGAAGTTCATAAACTAATAAAAACTCCACCATCACATTAAACTGCTTTAGCAAAGTTCCCGGTTCATTTTAGATATCCAATAAAAGTTAGTTTCTCTCTTTTTTAGGTGTTGTATTGCACTATAATTTTTAAGACATTCAAAATACATAAAATCATCTGGGTGTAGGGAAAGGAAAATGATGGGAACAAGCATTTATTGAATTCTAGATGCTTTACCCACACATGGTTTAATTCTCACTGCAACCTCAGTGGTAATATTACGATTCTGCCTCATTGACAGACTAGGCTTCAGTCTTCAAGCTCACAAGCAGCAGAGCTGAGCTTCAGTCCATACATATATCGTCTCCCCTGTACATATTTAATTACATGCTTTTACTTTAATCCCTTTTATCTCCAAATATTTGCAGGTTTATCTTGTCCCAGTTTTAATCTCCTGAAAATATGAGAAAATCATATTTACTTAATCATCTCTAGTATGTGAACTGATTCATCTCATGACTCATAGCTTCCAGCCTTTCATTTTTTCCTGTGGTACAAAAAAGTAAATGGTCTCTTACAGTCTGTTTTTTATACGTCGCAGAATAACTTTACTAATTCTGCCACCTATCCAAATAGTGAGACCTTCTGATATTCTGGTATTTTTAATAAAAGTGTTCAAGTGCTTATCCAGTTGTATATTATAAACTATGGGGAAACTATAAACTAGCATGTTTTATCTAAAAGACTTTTCATCAGGACTTGAATCATTATTTCTCTTAGTCCTTCTTATTTGAAACAAAGAATTATTTTAGTGTACAATTCTGCACATTCAGCTTTTTTGTTAGTTGTTCTGCAATTACATTATTTGAGTCTGATTTCTGTAGAGTATTTTCTTGCTGAATTTATGGACATTTTTATCAATTTTGACAATATTCAGTTCTTAGAACCTTCCTGTTTCTCTCTTGACCACTTTCTCTTTTTCTTTCCTCTCAACTCTCCTGCCTCGGACTCACTCTCACCCCCTCTCCCTTCTTCTCTGGCTAAAGACAATTCCCTCACCCGAACTTGTCAACTTTTGTTAGTCTGTTAGTTCTTTTAGTTAGTTGAGGAAGACACAAAGGCTTGTTTTCCTTGGATATGTAATTTTTCTTTTCTCTGAATTACGCATATTGGCACCTTACTTTTCCCAATGTGCTGTGGTTAGGTGCAGTATTTAAGTATTACTTTCCAGTTCTATAGGATGCCGAGACACTTAGAGTTAAATATATCCACTTGCAGATTCAGTCTTTAAGTTCTTTTTTTTTTTTTTTTTGATTTTCCCATCTTTGGTCTTTCTTCATGAAATTTTCACTCCTGATAAAATTGCTTCTTCTGTTAATGTTTGAACTCTTGATTTTTGGTTGCTCCCATTTTCTACTAATCGTCTATCAGGGGGAAATAAACATATCAGGTCTCTTATTTGGGAGCAGGAAAAGACCTGTAGAGGAATATTTAACATTGAGTATAGTCCTTCCCAACTATTTTGCTATTTTATGAGCTGAAATATCAGAGTCTAGTAATTTGAATGAGTTCTGACTGGATTGGATGTCCAGAGACCAAACAATTAAATTACCTTCAATTTTGCTGCCTTTTCTCTTTATTAGATATAAATATATATTACTTCTTACAACTTGCTCTTCTCATTCTTCCATTCATTCACTTATTCAACAATTATTTATTGACTACCTACTATGTGCTCCATGTACATTGTGCTAGGCGCTGGGGGAACATAGGAAGAACAAAGTCACTGCCAGTATGGTATTTACGTGGCTCCCATTTGTGGTTATAATTCACTTATGATTCACCAGGAAATGAAGTGATTCTGAGTAATAAGTAAAACCATCATGTAAAACCTGGGGCTTAGACTGTGTACTGCTTGGCAGGAGCAATTATGTTTTCACTTTCAGTGTCCTCAGTTCCACGCAGGGCACCCACCAATAGGAGGGTAACAAATATTGCACGCTTCTCAGGCATGGGAATGGAAATTATGGACAGAACAAAAGAGGATTTCAAAAGGAACAGTCAATGACACAAAATCAGAGAAAGTAATCAAATGTGTAGTTATTGAAACATTGTTACAGCTAAGAACGTAGCTACTGTCATTCACCTTTTTAGAAGATGCACCCCTAGAAGACGTTCTCCATGTTTTTCTAGTTGGGGACATCATATAGGCCATAAGTCATCACTGGAGTAAATATAGTGGAAACACAATAGCATGTAACATAAGTGTGAATGTTCCCTAAATGCCTTCGAAAGGTAGAAAGACTGGTAAAATCGAGTACATCTATTATAATAATTTCTTATGAGTTTGAGTCCCTGTTCTGTTCATCAGTGGTGATGGTAATCAAAAGATGAAAAAACAATTAGGGAAAGTCAGAAATACTGCAATGCATCTAGAGTAGCACTGGTAGAAACTTAGTAGCTTTGCCCCTAGTTTTTATAAAAATTGACATTAATATCATAGTCAAATAAAAATAAATAAAATGGAGAAGAAACTTTTGTATTCATCTAGCAGTGTTACCAGTTTTTTCCCATTCTTTTGAGCGATCCTACATTTTAAAAAACAAATAGAAAAGATTTTTTTTAAGAATTCATACTTGGACTAGTAATAAGAAAAGCAGCCAACCTTTTTTCATTGTTTTTTTAATAAAGACCAGAAACATCCATTCTTGAGTATTGAATGATTGATTATACTCCCCAGTTTTTGCCCTCTACTAAAAACTTGGAGGGCTGGGTGTGAATGGTAGTTCTAGGCTGGCTCCTGCGTGGGGGAAGGACGGTGACAGATCTTCTTGTGGTCTCATTGTGCATGATGGGCTTCAGACAGGCACTCCAGCTCCTCCGCATCCATTTTTGTTACTAGCAACAGGATTTCTGTTTAATAGCATGCTTAACGAGTTCAGTGTTCTGCTATGAAGAAGATGCTAACATATTTTTCATCACTTGTCTAAAAATAACATCAATGTATTGTGTTTCCTATAACTTACTTGGATAAAATATCTTTCACATGTTTTAAATGTTGTCATGGATGCAATATCTAGACGTGGTTAATCTATGTAGTTCTTGTGCTGGTTAAGCTAGAAGTAGATCCATGATACACCTGTATGTTGTTTTCCTCTTTGTTTTGGTATATAAAATCTTGCAAATGCGATGAAAACTGGGGAAGACAGTAATGTAATCTGTATAAGGCTGTACACACTGTTTGTTTGTGTCTTCGTGTATCTGTGTACAGCACTTGGATTGCCTGGTTTAATTTTCGCTCCTTGTGGAAGTGAGTGCCTTCAAGACTTAAATGAGCGTTAGGACTATCAGAGTGACAAGAAGTCAAACTAAACTGTATCAGGATCCATTAAGACCATCACGCAGGAAATAACGTGAAAGTTTAAAACTAATCTTTCTCTTGGTACACTTAAAACAGTCACTTGGATTATAGTTCTTTTATGCATGAACAATTAACTTAGTAAAAGAGCAAAATAATAGCCTTTACATTTCTAAATTTTTAGCTATGATTTTCCACATGCAGTTCACTATAATCTGGGGAAAATCATGAGGCACAGATCTCTTCCATCAGCATGAGCCTATTTCTCACTTCAAAACACAGAGTGGAGGGAATTTATAATCTTACTTCCTGCCCACCCCGTCTTTGCTTCAGTTAGACCAGTATGGCAGAGAGCTTCCTACTTAGGAACTGAAAAAGTACATGTCAACCAGTAAATTGATTCTATCCAAAACATTTAATTTTTTGCTTCTCCTTCTCCTTTAGAATGCAGTAAGTTAAAAACCTGCATTCTGGGTAAGATGATGTTGGAGCAGGATGCATGTACATATGTTTGATCTTGGGAGAAGGCGTATGAATCTTTTTATTTTAAGTCATAGAATTATATTAAAATGGGTTGGACAAGATGTAATTTTGAAAAGTCAGATTGGATTAACTTAGAAAAACTGCAATTTGTTCTTTTCTCTCTATCCTGACATTATTTCAGCATGTGGATTTTTCAGGACACACCCAGACAGAAGCAGAAGTCTTTGCATTTATAACGAAAGAAGACTCATCAGTGTTCATCATATAATTTCATTCCATTTTCTAAGTCAATTGGACAGATTTTTAATTTACAGTTTGTATTTAATATCACCGTTGTCAACAAAAACCAGCCAAATTCTTTAGTTACAGATCAAAATAATGCAAGAACTAAAACAATGACAAAAACAGAAATAAAGGCATTGGCATAAAGTGAAATAACTTTTAAGGACAAATATTTTTGCCCCCATGCAAATAAATTAAAAAGAACAAAGCAGTATGAGAAAAAGTTAACTTGATAAAGCTTGTTTATCTGCTTCCAGTATTTCAAGACGCAGCTGATCTTCTATTTTAATTTTTAGTTTCCTGGTTAGTTTTATGGTGGATGCTCGAGGTGGCGCTATGCGAGGATGCAGACACAATGGGCTCCGTATCATTATTCCACCTCGGAAATGTACGGCCCCAACTCGAGTCACCTGCCGTCTGGTCAAACGCCATAGACTGGCAACAATGCCTCCAATGGTGGAAGGAGAAGGCCTGGCCAGTCGCCTGATCGAAGTCGGACCTTCTGGTGCTCAGTTCCTTGGGTAAGGGTTTCTGATAAACCTCCCACTTAGTCACCGATGAGCTTGTGTCCTCTACATGAAATCCCTAGGATGGAATGAAGAAAGGTACGTCGATAACGTCATGAAAGAAGATTGGCCCCTGTGAAATTATTTAAAAAGTGGAAGTAGCACCTCAGTGCTTGACTCCAATCACATGCCTCTTATTTTAAGGCATGAATGAGTTCAACATTCAGGCGGATTAGGATTCCTTCTCTTTGGATATGACGATAGCTGCTAGGCTCCCAATGTGAATGGTTGTGTTTTAGCCAATGGTAGGTATTTTTTTTTTTTTTATCCTGAGACTCACATGGTAAAGGCATAAAGAAAAAACACTACTCTATTCCAAACCTAAATTTAAAGTCCTATGTAGTTATGAAACAGAATGATTATCTTTGGAAAGCAGTGTTGTCTTTGTAGGATATCCAAAAATTTACTCCATGTGACTTGTCATTTCTGTTATCAAAATTGCTATCTTGAGTCTTAAAATTACACCGGTAGTCTCTTTAGTTGTAGTTTTCATTAAGACGACAAAACCAAGACTAACTTCTGCCATGCTCATTTTAGCAATTTTGAGCGGAGGTTAGCATTTCTTCCTTCTTCTGCTTGTACGGCTGTTGTTATATATGAAGTGGTGTCTCAATATGCCAAGAAATGACTAGCTGCCGCTGAAAACTGACAAAAGGATGAAGTTTTGGAAGGGGGCAAGTTTCAAAATATTTTGAAACAAATCAATTGTATTTAAGTCTTGTCATATCAAGTCTCTGTGCTCAAAAATTGGGAGGAAGTCCTATTTATCATGAACTCTTTGCCAGTGTTGTTTGGGGGAGAGGATTTGCTTTAGAACTTGGGGAAACGTTCTAAAGCCTTGTAATTTGGAGCAAATGATTAACAGGTTGCTGCAAATTATGTTCACACCTGAAAAGGGGTGTCTGAAATTCTCCAATTATAGAAGCCATCTCCCATGTCCTCCTAAATGGCCAGAGATTTAGAAGGAGCCTGTGAAGTTCTGGGTTGTGTCAGAAATGCCAGTATGGTTGGAATAAATTGCCCAACGATCCCTTTCATCTTCTGTACTAGGCCCCTTTCCCTCCTTTATGATCAGGTAGTTTTAGGCTTTTTAAGAAACTCCACATCTGTTGAGGAATATTCATGAAAACATCTGCCCTCTCTGCCGTCAGAGTTTTTATTATATTCCCAACAGCTTTGTCTTTCCTGTGGAGCGTATTTATTTTGTTGTTTATTTTTGTGGCTCGTGCCCTGGCAGTGAACATAAGTAGGGATAGATCCAACACCTAAGTGTCTCCTTCCACACGCCTCCATTGTACACTCTGGGTCTCAATTCCTTGCTCTTTGTGACCAATGGAGGGGGCAGAGCCAAATGCAGTGTGAAACCACACTTCACCCTGTTGATCAGCCGGGGTTCTGTGGAAAACAATACCTGAAGCTTACTTATGTTCTTTCTTTCACTGCTGCTTTGGATGTACTCAGTAAACTTCACCTGCCAACGGCCCCTCCCCCACTTAATGAGGGAGAAAGTTTGGTCAGCCGCATCCTTCAGCTGGGGCCTCCTGGAACCAAATTCCTTGGGTAGGAGTGACTTAAAACAAATTGATGGCTGCTGGCCCCCATTCTTCTCCTCCTTCTGCAATATGATTTCTCTTTTTGTCATTGTGCCCATGACATGTCCCTCCCTATGATTTAAATTCTGTATAACCTATCTTTAGTGGACCATTTCTGACCCTTGTGGTATGTGACTTTTTATTTTTGAGTGACGTTTTTTATATCTTTTCCCTTAAAGTGCTGTGACCTTCATTTTCGTTTAAAGCATGAGATCTGCCTAGTTGTACTACGTGCTAGTTATTATGATGTTGTTATGATAGATTTGAAGTCTGTATCAAAGCAACCTGGACTGAAAAATCAAAAGCCTCCATAAATTTTGAAAGTGAATGCGACCTGAAATCGTCAGGGCAGTGCATGTTCTGGATCCTGAGTCTAATAGGCATGGGACACAATTGGGCTGTCTGCTGAGGTGCTGCTCAGTTAGGGCCATGCTGTGTCCACATGCCTATTGTTCCCTTGAATGAAAAAAAAAATACGCACAAAACCATGAGTGCATGTCTCTTTAGTTCCCGAGTAGTTAACTTTTCTGACATCTTTTTGTTTACAACACATCCAGTTACGCAACATATGAGCCATTTTCCTTCTCAACCCATTTTGTCATTTGCACCTTGTAGAAAATGTTTTAGGAGATTGGCACACATCATGGAAATGCATGCACATTTCTTTTGGTTAAATGTGTTATACTTACATTGATCAAAGGAGAAGTTCCAGAATGCCACATGCACTCCCAGGGAAACATTATTTGGCTTAAGGTAGCAGCATGTCCCTTAAGGATTGATGCCCCCAAGGTGGAGTGCTCCTGTGTGACCATCTGCTAGCTGATGGGCTCCGGAGGACAGCCCGCTATGCCACTGTCCCGGGAAAGAGAACAATTTCCAGGTCACTTTGCAACAGACAGAGTCAAGGTGCTTGCCTTGCTGTTGGTTAGATCTCGTCCACACTGAATGTTCTGCCTTACCGTGTCAGGCCCGTGATTGTGGAGATCCCTCATTTTGCTGCCCTTCGAGGAAAGGAGCGGGAACTGGTGGTCCTGCGCAGTGAGAACGGGGACAGCTGGAAAGAGCATTACTGTGAATACACTGAAGACGAGTTGAATGAAATCCTTAATGGCATGGATGAAGGTACTTCATATTAAGGGTTTTGAAAGAATTCTAAAGTGGAAGCATTAAAATGATCTATTTCTTTTTTTTAAAGATTTTATTTATTTGAGAGAAAGCATGAGATGGTCAGAGGGAGAAGCAGACTCCCCGCTGAGCAGGGAGCCCCATGCAGGACTTGATCCTGGGACTCCAGAATCATGACCTGAGCTGAAAGCAGTCGCTTAACCAACTAAGCCACCCAGGCACCCAAAATGATCTACTTGTTTCTTATGACCTACGGGTGTGTCTATGTGTGGGGGGCAGGGAGGGGAGGTGGGCTTGAGTATGTGTGGTCCTTGTGTTATTTTACTGCATTAGAGGATAATATCTCCTGTTTAAACTTTCTATTAAGGAGATAGGAAAATTAAGTTCACTCAAACGTCTGTATATAATTCAAACAAGGCATTAGCTGGGGTAGAATTTTATACACTCTCCTACACATAGAGTTAAGGAATTTATTTTTTTCGTTGGGGATTTGATGTCTGTAAATCCCAAATCCAGCTTGGGCCATCTAGCCATAGGTTGAAATATCTCAGTGTGACTGGAGGGAATTGACTCATCCTCTGGCCTTCTTAGGCTGCATAAAAACGAAGTCCCAGTCCTAATACCAGGAGATGGGTTCCACTTTATTTTTTTTAAGATTTTATTTATTTGAGAGAGAGAGAGAGAGAGAATGAACAAGCAGTGAGGAGGGGTAGAGACAGTGGGAGAAGCAGGCTTCCTGCTGAGCAGGGAGCCCGATGCGGGACTCGATCCCAGGACCCTGGGATCATGACCTGAGCCAAAGGCAGACGCTTAACGACTGAGCCACCCAGGCACCGCATGGTTCCACTTTAAGTAACTACACAAATAGGGCAAGTTCTTTGCCTAAGTGCCAAGAGCATACCAAATTTTGTACAGAACTGGACACACAGTGGTGTGGCTACTTATCATGTTTCCCAACCTTGCAGACTACTGCCAGAAGCTTCGGGCGTGGCTTGCGGATAGTAAGTGTAGCCAGACAGCAGCGGCTTTAGTATTTCTTTCTGCATCTTGCTGAGGTGGAATAAGAATAGAGGCCAGGCTTACCCTATCCAAGGGGTAGATGGAAAAAGAAATTATGCCCTCTAGATGCATAGGTCAGTATTTTCCAAGCAAGATAAAAAGAACAGGATTCTTCCTGATAAAGCTTGTTCCCTGCAATATTTATCTGCTTCCGCTTCTTGGAGCCATTTCTTTTGCCTGCATTTAGGTTTAGGGTACTGTCTTCTGAGATATTTACCTGTCATTAACACTGCCACAAACACTGGCATCTTGTCCTTGACGAGTACTTGTATAACTCTCTGTGTATAAAGCCTGTTTTAAAATAATCAGATTTTTGCATTTTTATGTTCTCTATGCTTGGAAATGCATTCTTTTCTAAGTATGTGCTAGTGTTTGCCAGTGCATCAGTTTTCAGTTATGCATGATCAGATCCTGGGACTTCTGGCTTTTGCTCTCTAGTTATATTCAATTGTCAAGAAAAATATAGTTGCTGTTCTTGCCTCTAGAATGGATTGCAAATGATTTCCAAAAATAAACAACTTTCCGTGATCCCTCAAAATTCAGTGATCACCTTAGTGCAGATTTTTTGCCTTTTAAGCCAGTCTGATTTTCGTGTTGCCCTGCATATCTACACTAATGCGATTTACAAAGAGCCCCTTATCCTGTCTTCCTGACAGTAGATGATATGGTTGGTCAGTTAATGGTTTCAGGGAAATACTCAAACCCTGAATTTATAATCACTGGTTTTTGTTGTTTTTTTTTTTTTTAGTATCTGACTCTTTCAGAGACAACCATGTCACTAGAATAAACACACAAAGACAAACCTTACCCTTACAGGACAGATTTTATTCCTGCACTGTTGCCCTGAGAACTGAAAGGGCCATATTTCTTCTTAAAACCGCAATAATTGGTTGTTGAGCTAACTTTGAAATTTGCGAAGAAAAGAGGTCCAGAAGCCATTTCCTGTACCTCACGTGAACCAAAATAGGATAGGTTCGTTTCCATTCCGGGTTTGCCCTCAAAACCCCTCATTTATAAAGGCGGCCGGCCCTGCACTCCTGCTTCTGGAACTGGATGCTTTCCTTTCACAGTGCCCTGGAAAGACCTAGTTTGCACGGAGAAATAAAACGTGCAGACTAAATGCTGATAGGTCTTGAAAGACTGCAATTTTTTTTTTTCTGGTGTTGTTAGGATTGGGAGTCTTGCTTTTGAAATTTTCCTACTGTTTAAAAAAAAAAAAAAGGGTGTTTTGCTTCCACACTTGTTTACTATTAACTCTGCCATGGAGTTTGCTAGAATGCTTTTGGAAGGAAATCTTTGCTGTATGAAGATGGGTCATTTCTTGTCTCAGTGCTGGATAGCCCGGAAGACCTAGAAAAGAAGCGAATCTGCCGCATCATCACCCGTGACTTCCCACAGTACTTTGCAGTGGTGTCTCGCATCAAACAGGACAGCAATCTGATTGGCCCAGAGGGAGGCGTGCTGAGCAGCACCGTGGTGCCCCAGGTGCAGGCCGTCTTTCCAGAGGGGGCGCTAACCAAGAGGATCCGTGTGGGCCTACAGGTATGCCCATGTTGGATACAAGTTAACCTAACATGGATTTTTACTCTAGTGATTCAAAATAAGCTTTTCAGGTGGGAAATACATGGTTATTGTGTCAAATTATCCCCAGGTGAGTAAGAGCTGCCCTTGGAGATTGTAGGTCTCCAAAAGTTTTATATGAGGGCTTAGTACTAAACTTATAATTGCCATATTTGAAGTCACCAAACTGATTTATGAGCTAAAAAGCAATGCATTGAGTAAGAAATTTGACATAAATATAGATATGTTTATCTTACTATTTTTTTCTTTGAAAAGGCTCAACCTATGCACAGTGAGCTGGTTAAGAAGATTCTAGGCAACAAAGCTACCTTCAGCCCTATAGTCACTTTGGAACCTAGAAGAAGAAAATTCCACAAACCAATTACCATGACCATTCCTGTCCCCAAAGCTTCAAGTGATGTCATGTTGAATGGTTTTGGGGGAGATGCACCAACCTTAAGATTACTATGCAGCATAACAGGTGAGTCCCATATGACTATGTTAGTAGAAAGTTCTGAAAGGAGAAACATAGATCCTTGTAAATATTAAATTACCTTCGTCATCAGATACCTGTGAGGTTATATGCATTAATTCAGGAAAAGCATCCTACTTAACTAGGCAAGTGAAAGGTGAAAGGAAATTAATATTTATCAAATACAGCTTGTATGCCAAACTATTAGACACTTTATATGTATTATCATTTCTGTCTTTATAGTGGCCCTATGAGGAAGTGTTAACCCTATTTACTGAAAAGGAAGCCAAGGCTGAGCGAAGTTCTATAACTTGCCTGAAATCATACCATAAATATTTGGCAGAGTTGGAATTCAAACCCAAATTTACATACCTCAAAGCCCAAGTTTTAAGCCTTCATTAAAGACTTTATTTTATATTTTTCATGTAAGACTTCATCTTACATGAAAAATAAATAGCATCTTGAATAATTATACCCAGTAGTTCAAACATCTGTCTAGGAATTGGTTTGTCTTTATCATTGATCTGTTGAACTAACTTTGGAAAAACAAAGTGAAGGTTTTTAATGATTAACTGAATTTTGGTCTTTTCAATTAGAAGTTGTAATAGCTTTCAGACAACTACCATACTCCAGAAAGACATTCCCAGAACGTTGGTTTTTTCTGCTCAATCATACCACCACAAATAGTGAGAGGAAAAAATCCGCACAAATAATAACCTGTGTTAGGACTACATCATTGGACTAATAATGTCCCTATTTCACAATAACTGCATGGTGTTGGCATTCAGTAAATACACTGTTGTCAATAGGAATAATCACCAGGTCATGATCCCAGGGTCCTGGGGTCGAGCCCCACATCGGGCTCTCTGCTCAGCGGAGAGCTTGCTTCTCCCTCTCCCCCTCCCCCTGCTTGTGCTCTCGCTGTCAAATAAATAAATAGGAATAATCACCATCCCTGGTTGTTTAGGTATTGTTAGAATTTTTTTTCCTTTCTCCTCCAAATTGAAAGAAATGTTCACCCTTATTTTGTTCTCTAATTCTCCCTCCTTATTAGTGTTTTTTTCCTGTACTTATGATAGCAGACCATTGACACCTTATCCCATAAGTTTAATAATATGACAAAAATTTAAAATACACAGACTACAATGAGTATAAAAGGAAATCTTAACACTTCACTTATGGTCGCTTTCCCAATTATCCATTTCTGATTGTTACCAGCATTCCTGGGTGTCATTCCCATACTTTTTTTCTGTGGGTATACGATTTACCTTTTATAAGGTGCAACATAATGGCATGGGAGAAAGAGAAGGAAGACTGAAAAATGTCTGTGGCACACCTGCCCTTGTAGATGATCAAATGAAGATACCGCCTGGGCCTAGACGCCATCTAATCTAGTTATTCCAGCCATAGATCTTCTGATAGGTTTGCACTAAACAATTCCTTAAATTTATTTGTTAATTAAAAAAAAAAAAAACATGTTAACCAGAGTTTCAGATTTTTGTGTTTTGCTCTGTTATATGGTTCTGCTAAGAATTCCTATTTTAGAGGCCTGCTAGAATAAGTTTCCATGAACTTTCTTTGATAACTCATTTCCTTCTTTAAGGAATTTTAGAGTCACAGTTTTTCCTCATCTCAAATATATATTCCTCCTACAATGCTTTAAGACTGTTTTATCCTAATCTATGCCAACGTAATTTCCCAGTAGAATGAAAGTCAATATCAGCCTCCATGGTGATCTTTCTGTGCACAGAGGCCATCCTTCAGCACTCATTCCCTCACCTTGCAGTATTACTGAGCTCTTAATATTTTCCAAGCATTTTTTTTTTTTTTGCCAACCTTGAACTGCAAATTGAGAGGAAATTTTATTTCTTAAAAATATTTCCAGAAAATATGAAGTTCAGGAACAAAAGATTATTTGGATTTTTGTTATTTTAACAAAGTATTCAGCTCCTTGGTTGATCGAAGTAGCTTTTAAAATCATCAGCCTTTTAAATTTAAAATGATCTTCAAAGCCTAGCAATTACAATAAAAGCTTCAGAGTATCAGTCAGATCTTAACAATAGAGAACAAACTGAGGGTTGCTGGAGGGGAGGTGGGTGGGGGATGGGCTAGGTGGGTGATGGGTATTAAGGAGGGAACTTATGATGAGCACTGGGTGTTGTATGTAAGGATGAATCACTAAATTCTACACCTGAAACTAATACTACAGTATATGTTAACTATCTAGAATTTAAATAGAGACTTGAAACATATAAAAAAGAAAGTCAGAGACTAGGACACTTAGTAGGTAATTTGAGGCAGTTATTCAAAGAACCTCCCTTTAAATTAAGTTCCTTGAAAGGTAGTGTCTGCTGTTTGTTTTCAGTGTGTCATTTTTTAGCATGTGGTTTTTAGACATGCTGTTTCCAATATGTCATTCTGAGGGGTGGATGGGATGATATGGGTGAACACAGCCAGAACCACAAAGACTTTATTTTACAATTCAGAGTCTGGAGTTTTGCCTGATTTTTTTAAACAATCATATTATTTCAGGTGGAACCACTCCTGCACAATGGGAAGATATTACAGGAACTACGCCATTAACATTTGTCAATGAATGTGTTTCCTTTACAACCAATGTGTCTGCCAGGTATGGTTATGCAGCCCAGAAAAGCCCACTATGATATTGCCCCCCCTCATTGTCTTCTGTTTTGTTTCTTATGTTCTTTAAAAGTGAATCTTTTTGGTTTACTTTTAAACATCATCTACATTTACTTTCATATTTTAAACTGGACTTGCCAGCAAATGTAATAGTGATGAGACAGTAAAGGACAACCAGTCAGATTAAAATCTAAGAAAAAGAAGGAATTGTGACCCTGACTCTGGTTTAAGCAGCCATCACTGATTTTTCCAGTCCCAAAGGTCTTAGGAAAGATAAATTTCCTGCTGTCAAAAAATAGCCTGAACTACATTTTCCAACAGAATAATAAAAACACAAAGCTCACCATGACTTGCTTAAATGGTTTCAAGGTTTCAGTGACTCTTATGCATTCTAACACATGTGCATATTACCCACGTATTACCCAATTACATATCACACATCTTTTTAAAAGCTGAAGCTATCTAGTTTTATGTCATGCACACACTAACTCAGTTGATTACCATTAGTTCCCATTTGCACTGGGATTAATGGATTGCTAAGCATGTCCCATTTACTTTGATTACTACAACAACTGTGTGACTTAAATAGAACAGGAGGTATCGTGGCCATTTTACAGATGAGAAAACTAAAGTCGAGAGTGGTTAAAACTTAAAGTTCTATTCAAGGGGAAAAGAAAAAGTAGAAATTCATAAATACTTCAGTAATGGTACGGGGCAATACCTGGGTGTGTGGTGGCACATGTTTGTCCTTTCAGCTGCTCAGGCTCAGCTACTGAGTCTCTGGGCTCTGTGAGCCAGTGTGATCTGCCACTCAGGCACCTACACTCTAATGCAAGACAATGGCAAGTTTTGAATGAGAGGTACCCCCAGAGGTATTAAAGAATTCAGTGGAGGGTGTTTGCATAGGAATAGAGAGGATGTTTGAGAAGAGGTGACTTAAGAGACATGTAGGAACCTTCTAGGCAGAATAAAAGTGGAAGAGAGAGGTAACATGAGCCAAGATGCCAAGATAGAATGCAGAAGGGTACTGGGGGAGAGCAACAGTGATCCATTTAGTCTGCAATTCAGAAGTAATGCAGGATTGTGCATTGTTATGGAAGGCCTTGTGGGATAGACCAAGAAGATGGTATTGTAAGTGTACTTAATGCCAATGAATTTTATCCTTAAAAATGGTTAAAATAGTAAACTTTGTATATATTTTACCAAAAGCCAATAAAAAAAGTGAGATGGATCAAGAACTTAAAGAAAAGAGAGGCTAAGACAGTAGGGCAATCTCAGGAATGTTGAAAGCTTATGGGAAATGAGTCAAGAGAAGGAGGGTAGGTGATCACTGGTGGGGAAAGGTTTCAGAGCAAGAAGATGTGAACCAACCTTGGAAAATGTATACATAGCAAATCGAAAAAATGCCCATGGTGGCCTCTCCTTTCTCAGTGAAGTTATCTTTCTTAAGGCCTCAGGTGAGGAGGGAGCTCAGGGAGTGTCGTAAAGGTTTAGCAAAGTTACTATACTGAATACCATGATTTCTGAGGAAAAAGTTGCCAGGCAATGTCACAGACTCAGCTGAGACTAGAACTCATAAATTGGTCACAAATCCAATGATTTCTTCTAGGGATATATTCAATATTTAGAAGTTCTGGAACAAAAGCAATTTTTTTAAAATCGTATTATTTCCCCTTGGTGACTGGAGAGGTTGTTGGAAAAGAATGAAGAAAAGCTGAGTAGATTTTATTGAAAAGGGTTTCAGGAAATGAAACAAAGAGGAGAGGGAATCGAGGAAAATAGAAACTCTCATTCAGTAAGATACTTGTCATACTATCCGATACTGAGCTTACATGCTAGAAGATTCTAAAGCACTGAGATATAGTTCAGAAGACTCAATACTCAGAAGAGTCTCCAAGGAAGAAAATTACAAATACAGCATTTGATAGTTGACCTTAAACACCGAATCGTTCTGTTTTCCCCACATTCCCTTCTTCCTTCCCATCTATCCTTTTATCTTTCCTCCTTTCACTTTCTTTCTCTTCCCTTTAGTTTCTCTCATCTCCTTCCCTCCCTTTTTCCAAGAGACATTTAGTGACTCTTTTGACCATAGTGAAGGGACTGTTGTTTTTTAATTCAACTGGTATACTTTAAATTTCAGATAACTGATCTTATTCCATTTTGTAGGTTCTGGCTGATAGATTGTCGACAAATTCAGGAATCTGTTACCTTTGCATCACAAGTGTATAGAGAAATTATCTGTGTACCGTATATGGCCAAATTTGTTGTGTTTGCCAAATCACACGACCCCATTGAAGCCAGGTTGAGATGTTTCTGCATGACTGATGATAAAGTGGATAAGACCCTAGAACAACAAGAAAACTTTGCTGAGGTGGCCAGAAGCAGGGATGTAGAGGTACTGTTATTTACAAAAATAATTTATGTTAACCTGTTGTTTATACCCTTTCTAGTAGATTCTATTTAAAATAGTATTTAATAAATAGAGCCATTAAAAAAGAAAAAGAACAGTCCACATTTGGATCAGTTAGTAGGTCAAGGTCCAAAGTCTGCCATTTTTGCCAGTTTGGATATAGGGATAGTCTCAGTGTATGTGAGGTGGTAAAAGGACTCTCTTAAAATTGTCTTGAGAAAAATTATGAGTTATTGGTAAAGCATGTAAGTGACTGTAACAGTTTAGATATCTTTATTTTTCCTTGTTGTTTTTATTATTTTTAATACTAAAGGAAATAGTCAGGAAGTATATCCTTTGTGTAAATGTGAATGTACCATATCCAGGGCTTTTCTGCATTACTTATTCTTATTTCAGAATTTTCTATCTGTGGGTCTTTGGATATTAAAGTCAAGTAACCTGACTCATTACGATGTCAAAAATTGCCCAATCAAAAATTTAAATTTAGGACTTAAAGAGATACTGGGTTTTTTTGGCGGGGGGCGGTTGGTAACATGAAACAGTGTTAGAAATGAAAACATTAACATTAAATGCCACCATGCATTTGAAATTCTCGTACCAGTAAGAAGAGGGAGTATTAGCGCATGCTTTGTCACAGATAAGACAAAATGTCAGCAATGTAAAGATTATGTATGTTTTAAGAATTTTGATGTTCCAAGTAGTACCACCACTTTTTATGTAAAGAACAAGTAATAATTATAGCTATTATATTCTGTGTTATTTTTCTGTTTTTACCAGGTACTAGAAGGAAAACCCATCTATGTTGATTGTTTTGGCAACCTGGTGCCATTAACAAAGAGTGGCCAACATCATATCTTCAGTTTTTTCGCCTTCAAAGAAAACCGACTTCCTCTCTTTGTCAAGGTAATAAGACATGGGCTTTTGTAATGCGTTTTACTTAAGATCAAGTAAGGATTTGATTTCCTTTAGTAGGAGATAATATTTGCTTTTCAGTCATTACAGTAATTTTTTAAAACCATGTCTGTGAAATTTTAAAGTCCTATAAAACTGTTTTTATTTTTGGAGTTCAAATTCAACCTTCATTTTATAACTTATAGACTATGGTTAAGGCTGAGAATTAGGACAAATAGCCAATTCATTAATTAGAAAAACTGGTTACTTTTTCCCCCAAATTTCACAAGTCTCTCTCTCTTTTTTTTTTTTGCTATCATTTCTTTTAAATATTTATGCTTCCATTTTAAAAATTTATGAATTTCATTAATGTGGAGACCAAAAGAGCTCTGACAACTTTTTTAATAAAAGCCCTCAAGGGACTCAGGATCTCAATCTAGTAAGAGATTATCCCAGATAGAGCTGTGAACTACGTGTATTTTCATAAATTCATCCAACAAACATTTATGGAGATACTTCAGTACACCGTGAATTTGTTGTCTCTGTTTAAGAATATTAATTCAAGTTAGGAATTTGGCAGCGATATATACACATTTCATTCTAGATTCCAATTCTAAAAAGGGACAAATATCTGTGATGGCGAGATTCATGAAATGAAAAGGAAGTAATAATTCTGTGCTCTGTTTCTCCAGGCACTCATTTTTTTTTTCTTCTCACAGTGTATTTCACTAATCTAGAAGTCCTAATGCTCAATCCTCACAAGATAGAAGCCGGTCTCCAACAGTTTTCACTACACCGACTTCAGACTACTAATTCCCAGTTTGTCAGCAATGACTCATTTTAATCCCTTATGATTTTCCAAGCGTATGTCAGTAAACCTCTCTTAAGTTTTTTGAAGTCTGTTAAGCTTTCCCAAGATCTCTTGAGTCCTTTGTTGTGCCATTTCTGGTTTGATTGTTTTATCTGATTAAAGATAGGTTCTTAGAGATCACCACATTAAACTGTAACTGCTGAGGGTTAATGGGTCCATTGATTGTTTTATCTGATTAAAGATAGGTTCTTAGAGATCACCACATTAAACTGTAACTGCTGAGGGGTAATGGGTCCATTTAACACAAATGGCTGTATAATTAAGCTAATACTTGATATTGTTGATGTGCAAAAGTCATTCTTTTTTTTTTTTTTTAAGATTTTATTTATTTGACAGAGAGAGACACAGCGAGCGAGGGAACACAAGCAGGGGGAGTGGGAGAGGGAGAAGCAGGCTTCCCGCGGAGCAGGGAGCCCAATGCGGGACTCAATCCCAGGACCCTGGGACCATGACCTGAGCCGAAGGCAGACGCTTAATGACTGAGCCACCCAGGCGCCCCGCAAAAGTCATTCTATAAACAACCAAATACAGAAATGAGCAAAGAACTCAGACATTTCTCCAAAGAAGGCAAACTGGTGGCCAATAAGCATATGAAAAGATGCTCAACAGTTTAAGGAAATTCAGATTCAAATCACAATGAGATACTTTGTACCCATTAGGGTGGCAGCTGTTAATAAATAAATATATAAATAACGAAATAGCTAACACATGTTGGCAAGGATGTGGAGAAATTGGGACACTGATCATTGCTGGTGGGAATACAAAATGGATGCAGCCACTGTGGAAAACAGTATGATGATTCCTCAAAAATTTAAACCTAGATTAGCCTATGATCCAGCAATTCCATTTCTAGGTATATACGCAAAAGAACTGAGAGCAGGGACTCAAGCAGTTACTTGCGTCCCAGTGTTCATAAGAGCATTATTCACAGTAGCCAAAAGGTGGAAGCATCCCAAGTATCCATTGACAGGTGAATGGATAAAAAATGGAATATGCGTACGTATGATGGAATATTATTCAGCCTTAATAAGGAATGACATTTTGATACAGGCTGTAACATGGATGAACCTGGAAGGCATATGCTAAGTGAAATTAGCCAGACACAAAGGACAAATACTCTGTTTCCACTTATAAGAGGTACCTAGAGAGGTCAAATGCCTAGAGTCAGCAAATAGAACTGTGGTTGCTAGGAGATGAGGGGAGGGAGGAATGGAAAGTTCGTGTTTACTGGAAACAGAGTTTCAGTTTGTGAACGTGAAGAAGTTCCGAAGATGAATGGTAGTGATGGTTGTACAACAGTGTGAATGTACTTATCGCTGCTGAACTGTGCATGTAAAAATGGTGGAAATGATAAGTTTTGTGTTATATTTTAACACAATTCTTTTAAAGAATGAAATTCTGATATATGTTGCAATGTGGTTGAAGTTTGAAAATATTACGCTAAGTAAAATAACCCAGACTCAAAAGGAACAAGCAATGTATAACTCTATCTATTCAGGGTACCTGGGAGAGGCAAATTTACAGAGACAGAAAGTAGAATAGAGGTGACCTAGGGTGGCGGAAGAGAAGAATGGAGAGCTATCGTTTAATGGGTACAGAGTTTGTGTTTGGGATGATGACAAATTCTGCATAGTAGGGATTTGATGAATGCACGTTTCTGAATATGCTTAATGCCGCTAAATTGGACACTTAAAAATGGTAAGCGTAAAAATGGAAATGGTAAATTTTATGGCACATGTCTTTTACCACAATTTTTTAAAAGCTGAATGATTTTTAAAAAGTCATTCTAAATGAATATAGAAACAGAGAAAGGAACACCTCTAAATCCTTAGCATTATCAAATGAATTTATTTTTTCCTCATTCTCTTGTGAGTATCATCTAATTAAAATAGTACACATTATAGGTGGATGAAGTATGTATGCCTTTCTTGTTCAAGGTACGTGACACGACTCAGGAACCTTGCGGGCGACTATCATTTATGAAAGAGCCAAAATCCACAAGAGGCCTGGTGCATCAAGCTATTTGCAACTTAAACATCACCCTGCCCATTTATACAAAGGTATCGTCAAATCCGTTGGAGTGCAGTTCAGTCTCTGTAGGATTTAATTTTCAAACCCTTTAAAATAAGTAAAAGCAAAAGCACTGAATGCAAGCACATATAGCAGTCATTTTTGATTCCCTGTCAAATTTATGATTTTCCATTTAAGTAAGGAAAAAAGGTAGCTCTCCTTTATTTTGCATTAAATTCACTCTGTTGGAAACTTTTCTATCAATACATATTGGACAGGAAAGAAAATTTGAATTTAAGATTTAACTTTTTGGACTCATTTTTAAAAATAAATTGGCTTTGTCTTCACTGTTGTTTTTATGTGCCCTTCTGGGATGATACTAGTCCATTTGGCCCCAGCAAACTATTATGAGTTCATTAGCTTCTGTTCACTGCCAATTCACAGGTGGATTATTTATTATTAAATTCAGAGCAACCTCATGAGATTTTATCTAATTGCTAAAATAAATTCCTGTTCATCTTATAACATAATGTTTTGGGGGTATCAAACTAATTTTTCAACGATTTTAGCATGATTAGTATAGAAAATACTCCCATGTGACAAGGGGTAGATTTGAAACATTGTTGAAAAGGAACAGTTCATCAATTCCTGACCCAAAGTCTCCTTACCAGGTATTACTTTCTATTCAGACTGCTCACCATTACAGAATTCCTGCCTTACTCTGATCAAGTTGAAGACGACAACTGAATGAATTAAATGTTGGGGATAACTTAATTTTTATTACTTAAAAAAATTTTAACCAGTATCTTTTCAGTGGGGGGAAGTTTCCTCCCACCATCCATGGCGGTCTGTAGGGGGCTGCAGAGTTGTCAGTGTGTGACTAGAGGTTGGGGAGGGGGATGAGTAATGGCAGGTAAGACCTGGAGGAGATGTAGAAATATATTTAAAACCCTAGATCTTGACTCCACAAAACAAAGCATTTTCGACACTTCTTTTTACCCACCATGGTATATTTTTCTTAACCAATTATTCTTCTAAATAGAGATCAGACACAGAGAAAAGCTGATAGCATCATGTTTAACATTGCAAATTCTCATTATATGATAAAAGTGAAATATTATCTGTATATGTAAACATACGTGTTATTCCAGTAATTGGAATACAGCAATAGGTATATCCACCCAAATGAGCATAATCTAATTTCACTCCAGTGATGGAAAATGTACTTTGGGGTTTGTAGATTTGTGTGTCACCGAAGCAGAATGCCAAATAAGAAGCACAACAAAACATATACTGCTGTGGGCAGTCTAACTGAGTGACATATAAAGATGAATGAGCTTTGTCTCTGATTTCAGTGAACTTTCAGTGTGCTGTAAAAGAAGGCATTTATTTTATTATTACACTGTATTTCTAAGTTGAGACATATCATTAATGCCATGATGGTCCAGGATAGCTTTCCAGTTAGTAACTCAAAATAAAAAGGAAAACAATGCCAAACATTGTATACACTTCACGTAAACTTTAGAATTTAGTAGCTCTTTATTATAATAGAACTCCTAAATATTACCTGTGTATTCAAAATATTTTTACCATATGCTTATTTGTGGCCTTTAACATTTTCAGCCAGTATCTGTAACGACTGGGATATATCATCCCCATTTCTCTAGACATCAAATCCATTAAATATCAAACTTTAAGGCTGCTAGTAGCCTCTAGGATCTGAAATGAGTATATTTGTAATTTTAGTTCTTTTGTCTAATAAATTAGTATACTTACAATTTTGGTTCTTTTGCCTCTTGAATCTACAGACTTTCACATTTAAATCAATCCTTTTTTAAATTTTTTGCCTGTCTTCTATAAACTGTTAGTAAGAAAAAAGAGTATGCTGAGGGTATGCTTGCCCGTTGATGTTTGTTGGCAGTGTATTTAATCTTTTCTTCTAAAAACTCTCTACTCTTCCTGCTCTCTTTTTTCCATCTTGCATGGCATCTTGGGGCGGCAAGGAATCAGAGTCAGATCAAGAACAGGAAGAAGAGGTAATTGTATGGCATTGTCACTTATTGATGGCTGTATTTGCTATAACCGCTAATAAGAGCACATAGTTAACCTGTGTTCTTAGAAGGGTTATATGGTTGTTAGTAACTGAAGAGTCACAGTTTTACTTAACCTCTCTGAGCCTCTGTTTTCTCATCTCGTGGACTGAATTCAAAGGATAGTAAAGCTTTCCCTATAAATTGTTACCCTGTCTGTGTGCAATAATAAAGGTTTCTCTACTGACTACTGAAGGTCAAGCCATTATTTCAGTTCTCAAAGGTTCGTCTGGAGATGGCTGGAGGTCAAAACTTTTTTTTTTTTTTTTTAATATAACTGAGACATTATTTGTCTTTTGCCTCCCATATCTCCACAAGCTGTAGAGGAGTTTTCCAGAGGCTACATTACATATGATGACATCATCACTCTGACTCTGGAATGGGTGCTTGTGTATACTTGGGTTCTAGGATTTTCTCAGTTTTAATGTATAAGACAGATATTTACTTGTATATATCAAATATAAACAGAAGTTCTTCAAGGTCTTCAATAATTTTTAGGAGTGTAAAGGAGTATTGAAACCAAAAAGTTTGAGAACCACTAAGAATAAAGACTTTAAGAAGTGTATAGTTTAACCAATAGACTATAATATTACAATGCAGAACTGTACTAATAATGAGCACTTCTTATAAGGTAGATTCTTTATTAAGTGCTCCACGTACCTCATCAACACTGATCCTCACAATTGCCCTGTGTGGTATGTGCTATCATAGATGAAGAAAGCCAGTCTTCAAGAGGTTACCTTGAATAAAGAAGCTTTTGAATAAGACTTCTTTGATAGTTCAGGCACATTTATGTTTGTTTCCTTATAAAGATTTGAATGCCCAAACATCATCATAGAAATGAAAGGAAATTCCTTCTACCTCCCTATTTACATATTGTTCCTGCTTATAAGATATAGACAAATGCAATTGTTATTAGTTGCACATAAAGATTTTCAAATATACTAGTTTTATATTTTTAACGTTACTTGATGGATTTGGGAATACAAAAACATAAAGAAAAACATAGTAAATACCCTTGTACCCACCAACTTAAGATGTAAGGCCTTTTTAGTGCAGAGAATTGCCCTGAATTCACTTTTTACTCCTACCCGGGCCGCGGAGCAGGACAAGAGGGGAGGTGATAGCCTCGCTGTCCTGCCGTATAGAACCATATGCACAGTAATTAGGACAGATATCAACCTTCCCCTCGATTGTTCAGGCGCTCTTTGTGTCACATACTCAGTTTCCTTCCTGCACTTGGTGACCCCCTCACCAAACCTGTTCAAAATGGTACCTACACACCTTCTTAGAAGCGCAATGCAACTATAAAACCATTTTTGCTATATTTAAGTGAGTTTCTTGCATTAGGTTTGTGATTGTTCTATTGAATCTTTTCAGGAGCTATGCAGGGCAATAGATCCAGTTTGTATTCTTTTCAGGATTTAGAATTTTGGCTCGTAATTAATGACAACGAAACTGCTACTTCTGTAGAATATATTACCCTGGCATGCTGTTTGTTCTTTACTTCTTTTTCTCAACTAAATTGACACTGTTTAACCTCCACTTCACTCTTTTCCTGGCCTTTTCCCTAATACATATGTATTTCTAACATCAAACGCACCCTGGATCATATCTTGCTAGAAATAACATTAAAAATCGCTTTCCACCTATGAAGTCTAGAAAGGAGGTTTGTTTTTTTAAAGTTAGGATAAGAATCGAGGAGACTCTCAGGAAGAACTGTAGCAAAGTACTTTGACCTTCCTCTAGCTTATGTTATCTCCCCATGGGTGTGATTATGAATAGGAGCTTATTTGCACATCAGGGGCTGTGAAAGCAGACGCAGTTTGTAACCATTCAATTTATGTATGTTTTCTTTCAGATCGATATGACATCAGAAAAAAGTAAGATTTTAAATAAAATTGAGTTTGTTTGAAAGCTGGCTACAATAAAGAGAAGCATGAATTAAAATGCAGCTAGTTGCCATTACTAACCACTATAATAATTATATTTTTATATTGTTCTTATTAATCATTAATGTATATTTAGAAAAGCAGCTTGGCCAGTTAAATTACGAAAATATCTAATTTGTTGAGCTAATTAGCAGTAAAATGCAATGATTATTCATCTAAGCATTCACTTTCTTTTGATACCCCTGTTAACCCTGCTATTGCTGTTATGCTTGTTTAGAAGCCCACCCGACCGTTTTTGTCCATTTGTTAGCATAACGTCATCTCATTTTTTTTTAAGCACTGACATGACAGTATCACTTTTATATCAAGCAACACTGACTTCAGGAGAGAGCTCATTATTTTTGTAGGCTATACCTGCAAAAGTGATACTGTCTTAATAGTTCTCAGCTAAAGCTAACCCTCCCCCTACCCCCACCACCTAGCACCTCTTACTGTGGTGAAGTATAACGCATTTCTTTAGGGCTGAGGTCTAACGGACTTTTGTGAAACTTTCAGAAAAAAAAAAAAGGGAACCGGGAATACAAAAATCAAAACCTCCTGGATGAAATTACTAATCACAACATTGTGCCATTATAGGGCTAATTTTAAATAATGATGCAAATCCCAAATATAATTTAGTACAGAGAGAACTGGTTTTTATAGACCTTAAGAGAGTTATCTTACTTAAGGTTTGGGTTTGTAACAATTCATTAACATTTTAGTTTTGGGGCCTGTTTCTGGTGACTCTGGTTTCTTGTGTGGAAGAAGTTGAATTTTTCAGGTTTCTTTCTTGCTTCTATGCCCCCAAATAGTTGAGGAAAAAAAATACTAATTTTTATTGTTTATTTATTTAAAAATTCATTTTGATTCACTGTATTTCAGGGTGCTATTCCCAAAAGGAGAAAACTTAGAACCATGTTTAATATGGTCATCTGGCCCTATGCAATGATCTGGGGGCTTTTTTTTTTTTTTAAGACTTAGTATAATGTAAATTACTAAGTTATTGGGATTTTTTTTTTAAGATTTATTTATTTGGAGAGCAGAAGCAGGGGGTGAAGGGCAGAGGGAGAGGGAAAGGCAGACACCCCGCTGAGCAGGGAGCCCAAGGCAGGGCTCTATCCCAGGACTCCCAGGATCATGACCCGAGCAGAAGGTGGCCGCTTACTGACTGAGCCACCCAGGGGCCCCTAGAATGCCTTTAATTGAGAGTTTCTTTGCTCTTATGTTAAATCATCGTTCAGGACTAGATTATTTGAAACTCTGGATGTTTTCATTTGGTTTGTACTTGAACAAATTTGCATTGATATAAATTATTTTAATATATCTTTATATATGCATAGTCACAGAGTATATCTCCTCAATAAATACCAATTCTCTCAAGAGAAAACACTTATTTGTTAAAAAAGTGACATTATCATTGCCTTAATTAATTTCATTTTTAAAAAGAGGTTTTATTTTATTATCCCACTTTCTTCTTCAGAACTACTATGTTTATTTAAATGGCCCTTTCCTTTGTTTCTTGAATACTAGCTAGTAGAAATTCAAGTTTAATACATCCCCCTGGCTCAGTTGTTTAAAAAAGAAAAAGGAGGGGGTGCCTGGGTGGCTCAGTCGGTTAAGAGCCTGCCTTCGGCTCAAGTCATGATCCCGGAGTCCCGGAATTGAGCCCCGCATCGGGCTCCCTGCCCAGTGGGGAGTCTGCTTCTCCCTCTGTCCCTTACCCCTCTCTCATGCTCTTTCTCTCTCTCTCTCTCTCTCACTGTCTCTCAAATAAATAAATAAAATCTTAAAGAAAGACAGAAAAAGCTACTATATTGCTATAATGCCACAAATTCTCCTAAATGACTCCTAAGTGTTGTGAATATTTTTTAAAGTTTAAACATAGACTTATGTTTGGGTGGTTTTTTTTTTGTTTTGTTTTGTTTTTTAGTTTAAAGATAATCCTTAAATAATCTTCCTCTGGGTATAAAATAACCTCTAAAGAAGGGCTCTAGTGAAGGAACTCTTTCCTAAGTCTTTTCAAGAGCAAATCCTAAAAGAGTTTGAACAACTTTTCCTTTTTGCTTTGAATGGGTGCAGGTCCCCACTACCTGTCCCTCGAATATACTACTACATTCAGGACCTATGTACAGGCTTGTAGAAAATAAATATGCTTCACCACAGTAATGTTTTCCATATTTGTTCTAATTTCTTAACCATTTTCCTGCCCGTGCATTTCAGCAAAGCCACCGCTCCCACCAGTTTCTTTCCACCTTTGCTTTGCATGGAAATAACTTGGCTTACATAAGCTGTGCGTGTGTCTCGTGTGACTGTCTCTGATTTGGATTGCCATGCATCACATTTTAACTTTGGACTCACATATAAGTTTAACCACAGTTGTTGTTTTGTTTTGTTTTGTTTTTTCTTTCCTTTCCTTTATTTCCCTCCTTGGTCTGTCCTTTATGTGTCTAAACCAGGAGGTTGCTCCAAGGAAAGGACCATGCCTCTTAGCACAAGACCATTCGTTTCATTGTTAGGTGTGAATTTCCCTTAGATGAAATGCCAGTTTGCAGCTGATTCAGACATCTTTTATATAGTCATTGTATATTGGCAGAACAAAACATACTGATTTCCGGATTTTTATATGATTAAAAAACATATATACTTCATTGGAAGGCATTCTGAATTTGCTACTACTGGCTTTCTCCTAGAGGAAATCAACTTTCTGCAATTTCTAATGCTTTTTTCCTTTTCTTTCCCCATGTTTATATTTTTTTCAACATTGATCTGTAACATCTGAACAATCTTGAGATACTTCTGTGTAATTTCACTGCGTTCGTTCTTCGTTTTGATCTGTGATGGTGTGTGTGTGTGTGTGTGTGTCATGGCTATTTGTTACAGCTTTGTTGTATGTGTGGATGTGCTACAAGTGAGAAAACTAAGCAAGTTATTTCCTGCTCATTTTTCCTTTTCAGTTTTTGTTTTTGTTTTTGTTTTTGGTTTTTTTTTTTCCGTTAGCCTTGCTTTGCTTTTGTATCCTGAGACCTTGTGGATCCACCATTCCCAGCCCATTCTGTTGTCCCTCCCGCCACAACAGGAAAAGACACTGTGTCGTTTCAGTCCTGATTACATTTGCCAATATATTTTTTGATTTCCATTTTACTTTCAATGTTTTTCATTCATATCAAAGATGATGAGACAGAATCTACAGAAACATCTGTCCTGAAAAGTCACCTGGTTAATGAAGTTCCTGTCCTAGCCAGTCCGGACTTGCTCTCTGAAGTTTCTGAGATGAAACAAGATTTGATCAAAATGACCGCCATCTTGACCACAGATGTATCTGATAGGGCAGGTTCTATCAAGGTGAAGGAGCTGGTGAAGGCTGCTGAGGAAGAGCCAGGAGAGCCTTTTGAAATTGTTGAAAGAGTTAAAGAGGACTTAGAGAAAGTGAATGAAATCCTGAGAAGTGGAACCTGCGCGAGAGATGAAGGCAGTGTGCGAAGGTCTCAGTCGGAGAGAGAATTAGAGGAAGAGGAATGGGTGATTGTCAGTGATGAGGAAATAGAGGAGGCTAAGCTAAAAGCACCTTTAGAAATCACCGAATACCCATGCGTAGAAGTTAGACTAGATAAAGAGCGCAACGTCAAAGTAGAGAAAGACTCAACTGGGCTAGTGAACTACCTTACTGAGGATCTAAATTCCTATGTGTCTCCTCATGAAAGGCCACTGCAGACAGTTCAAGAGATAGCAGGGGAGAAACGTGAGGCTCTGGCTACTGGCAGGAGCTCTGAAAATGAAGGGAAAGATACACCCCCAGATGAGACACAGAGTGCACAGAAACAGCACAAGCCAAGCCTGGGGATAAAGAAGCCAGTGAGAAGGAAATTAAAAGAAAAACAAAAACAAAAAGAGGAAAGTGTACGAGGTAGTGCAGAAAAAAGTGAACTTAAAAAATGTAGTTCAGAAGAGTCATTAGATGAAGATGCAGGTTTAGCCCCTGAGCCCCTTCCCACTGTAAAGGCCACTTCACCTTTGATAGAAGAAACTCCCATTGGTTCTATAAAGGACAAAGTAAAGGCCCTTCAGAAACGAGTGGAAGATGAACAAAAAGGTCGAAGCAAGTTGCCAGTCAGAGTCAAAGGCAAAGAAGATGTGCCAAAAAAGATAACCCACAGGACACATCCAGCTGCATCACCCTCTCTGAAGTCAGAGAGGCATGTACCGGCATCACCCTCCTCTAAAACAGAAAGACACTCTTCTCTTTCCTCCTCTACAAAAACTGAGAGGCATCCTCCGGTATCACCATCAAGTAAAGCTGAGAAGCACTCACCTGTGTCCCCCTCTGCAAAAACTGAAAGGCATTCCCCTGTGTCATCAAGTAAAACCGAGAGACACTCACCTGTGTCACCCTCGACAAAAACGGAAAGGCACTCCCCTGTGTCATCTACAAAAACAGAAAGACACCCACCTATTTCACCTTCAGGTAAAATGGACAAACGCCCACCTGTATCGCCCTCTGGGAGAACGGAGAAACATGCACCAGGATCACCTGGGAGAACAGAAAAACGCTTGCCTGTGTCACCAGCTGGACGAATGGAAAAGCATCCACCTGTATCAACCTCTGGGAAAACTGAGAAGCACTTGCCTGTGTCGCCTTTTGGGAAAACAGAAAAGCAACCACCTGTATCCCCCACCTCAAAAACAGAAAGAATTGAAGAGACAATGTCTGTCCGGGAGTTGATGAAAGCTTTCCAGTCAGGTCAGGACCCATCTAAACATAAGACTGGACTCTTTGAGCACAAGTCAGCAAAACAAAAGCAGCCACAAGAAAAAGGCAAAGCTCGGGTAGAAAAAGAAAAGGGGCAGATGCTAAACCACAGAGAAACACAGAAAACCGAGAATCAGACGATCAAACGAGGCCAGAGATTTGTGGTAACAGGAGTTTCCGAATCCAAGAGAGCAGTCCGTGCTTCCTCTGCAGGGTTTAAGAGAGAAGATCTAGTTACAGAGAAGGAGAAAGCTCTTAGCCACAAAACGCCTGAACCTGTTCAGTCAGCACCAGAAGAAGAAAGCCATAAAGAGAGTGAAGTTCCCAAAGAAAAGCTGACTGATGAACAGGGAGACGTGGATCTCCAGATCAGCCCAGATAGGAAAACCTCCACTGACTTTTCTGATGTCATTAAGCAAGAATTGGAAGACAATGACAAATACCAACAATTCCGCATGAGTGAGAAGACAGAAGAAGTACAGCTTCACTTAGATCAAGTACTTACTAGTCCTTTCAACACAACATTTCCACTAGATTACATGAAAGATGAATTTCTCCCGGCTTTGTCTTTACAAAGTGGTGCTTTGGATGGCAGTTCTGAGAGCCTCAAGCCTGAAGGGGTGGCAGGTTCTCCATGTGGCAGCCTGATGGAAGGGACCCCTCAGATTAGTTCCGAAGAAAGCTATAAGCATGAGGGCCTCGCAGAGACCCCTGAGACAAGCCCAGAAAGCCTTTCTTTCTCACCGAAGAAAAGTGAGGAGCAAATTGGGGAAATAAGCGGAACGACAAAGTCAGAAACACCAACAGCAGTTCATTCAGAAAAAGACCATCCCTCAATCAAAGACATCGCTGATGGTTCTGAAGAGCAAGGTGCCATAGTCACTGAAGGCATGGAGTCCTCAGCTGAGTGTTTGCTGAAGGAGGCCACCCTAGACCCTTCCAAAGACACATGTCCAAAGCAAGAAGATGATTCCCTTGGCAGCTGTAGTGTGTTACTGGCAAAAGAAACACCCAAAGGATTGACTGGGGAAGCATCCTCTGATGAGGGTCAACTTATGAAAGTTGGTTCAGCCCACAAAACCCACACTGATACTGAAGCTCAGAAATCCATAACCACTGAGCCCTCAGATGAGACAAAGGCCTCTCCACGGCCCGATGCTTGTGTAAAGACAGGCACAGGAACTGAATCAAAGCCCCAGGGAGTTGCTAGAAGTCCCCAAGGGTTAGAACTTGCACTCCCTAGCCGAGATAGTGAGGTCCTCAGCCCCGGTGCTGATGAATCCTTTGCAGTGAGCCACAGAGATTCCCTGGAAGCCAGCCCTGTGCTGGAGGATAACTCCTCACACAAAACTCCGGATTCTCTGGAGCCAAGTCCTCTGAAAGAATCCCCTTGCCGTGACTCTCTTGAAAGCAGCCCTGTGGAACCAAAGATGAAAGCTGGAGTTCTCCCAAGTCACTTCCCTCTTCCTGCAACCGTAGCCAAAACAGAACTCTTTACGGAAGTGGCCTCTGTGCGGTCCCGGCTGCTCCGAGACCCGGACGGCAGTGCCGAGGACGACAGTCTTGAGCAGACGTCGCTGGTAGAGAGCTCAGGGAAGAGTCCCCTTTCTCCTGACACCCCCAGCTCAGAAGAAATTAGCTATGAGGTCACACCCAAAGCCACAGATGCAAGCACACCCAAACCAGCTGTAATTCACGAATGTGCAGAGGAGGATGATTTGGAAAATGGGGAGAAAAGGAGATTCACGCCTGAAGAGGAAATGTTTAAAATGGTAACCAAAATCAAAACGTTTGACGAACTTGAACAAGAAGCAAAGCAGAAACGGGACTACAAGAAAGAACCCAAGCAAGAGGAATCTTCTTCATCCTCTGACCCAGATGCTGCCTGTTCAGCAGATGTGGATGAACCAAAACAGATGGAGAGTGTCGAGGATGAAAGCGATGTCCCTGTGGTAGTAACATCAGAGAGCAGAAAGGCTTCTTCCTCCTCCGAGAGTGAACCTGAGTTGGCACAGCTGAAAAAAGGTGCTGACGCAGGCCTCTTACCAGAGCCAGTTATTCGGGTGCAGCCTCCTTCCCCACTTCCATCCAGTGTAGACTCCAATTCCAGTCCTGAAGAAGTACAGTTTCAACCCATCGTTTCTAAACAATATACTTTCAAAATGAATGAAGATAGTCAAGAAGAGTCAGGTAAATCAGAAGAAGAAAAAGATCGTGAATCCCATGTACCTGAAGAGAGTCTTACCATTTCTACTAACGGCCCAGATATGTCTTATGATGATCTGAATGGAGATGCTGATCAACCAGAAGTCTGTGAAGGCCGTGGGTGTGGGACCGGAAGTCCCAGCAGCACAGGCACTCCTATATCTTTAGGTCTTTACAGCTCCCCCAGGGAAGATGCCAACGAGCAGCTAGCTATCCATGAGGAATCAGTACCTCTGCAAGACACTGATGAAAAAGACACCAAAGGAGAAGAGCTTGATGTTTCTCAAGTGGAATCTCTACAAGTAGATTGCCCCAGTGAAAGCTCTTCATCTTTGTCTTCCTTGCCTCACTGTCCAGCCTCTGAAGGACAAGAATTAGATGAAGACATATTGTCTCTCTCTTCTGCTACAAAAATGGAGGACACCAAAACTGACCAGGCTTTTGAGAGCTTACCAAAGGACTATGCCACTCAAGACTCATCGATTACTACTCAAACAGAGAAATTGTCCATGGATGTTCCAGTGTCTGACCCGGCTGAGACTGATGAAATCTACGATCCTCAAATAATAAGCCCTTATGAAAATGTTCCCTGCCAATCTTTTTTCTCCAGTGAAGAATGCAAAACGGATGCAGGACAAAGAAGTTTTCACTCTTCGGAAGTGTGTTCTGTTTCCATCACATCCTCTGTTGAAGATGTGGTAGTAACCAGCTCCTCCAATAGAACTGTTTCAAGCCAAGAATCTAACTTTGAGGACCAAAACATGGAAAAAGAATCCAAACAAGAAAGCACCTCATGGGAAAAGCAATCAGATCAAGCCCCTTCATCTTTAGAGCCTTCTGTACCAAATACATCAGCAGTTGTTAGTGACCAAATCAGCAAAGTCATCATCACAAAAACTGATGTGGATTCGGATTCCTGGAGTGAAATCCGTGAGGATGATGAAGCCTTTGAGGCTCGAGTGAAAGAGGAGGAACAAAAGATATTTGGTTTGATGGTAGACAGACAATCACAGGGTACCACCCCTGACACCACTCCAGCAAGGACGCCAACTGAAGAGGGGACCCCAACCAGTGAGCAAAACCCATTTCTCTTTCAGGAAGGAAAATTGTTTGAGATGACCCGAAGTGGTGCCATTGATATGACCAAAAGGTCCTATGCCGATGAAAGTTTTCACTTTTTCCAAATTGGGCAAGAATCCAGGGAAGAGACTCTCTCTGAAGACATGAAAGAAGGGAGTCCTGGGGCTGAGCCCCCACAACGGGAGACATCAGCTGAGTCACTAGCTCTCTCCGAATCAAAAGAAACAGTGAGTGAGGAAGCAGACTTACTTCCAGATGACCTGAGTGAGGAAGTAGAGGAAATATCTGCCTCAGATGCTCAACTTAACACCCACATGGGGAATTCAACCTCCATTGAAGCATCAACAAAAGAGACTCTTTCTGAAGGCACCGAGGACCTCCCCACCACACAAATGGGTGATATGCCTCCTAAATCTAGTGTGAAAGATCTATCTTGCCCTGACTCCCCTAAACCAGTTGTACACGTTCAGTTAGATTTTTCCACAGTTACCAGGTCTGTGTATTCAGATCGGGATGATGATTCTCCTGATTCTTCCCCAGAGGAACAGAAATCAGTAATTGAAATCCCTACTGCACCCATGGAGAATGTGCCTTCTACTGAAAGCAAATCCAAAATTCCTGTAAGGACTATACCCACATCAACCCCAGCACCCCCATCCGTGGAGTATGAGAGTTCCCTTTCTGAAGATTTCTTACCCAGCCTGGATGAGGAAAGTAAAGAGGATGAAACAAAACCAAAGTCTAAAATCCCCGTGAAAGCCCCTGTCCAAAGAGTAGAGCAGCAGCTTTCACATCTAGATTCATCTCTCCAGAAAATAGTGGTTCCTCAGGGTCAGGACATGACAAGCAGAACACCAGATAGTAGAAGCAAATCTGAATCTGATGCCAGTGCTTTGGACTCAAAGACCAAATGTCCAGTAAAAACTAAAAGTTACACTGAGACAGAAACAGAGAGCAGAGAGAGGACAGAGGAGCTGGAGTTAGAATCAGAAGAGGGGGCCACCAGACCAAAGATATTTACATCCCGATTGCCAGTTAAGAGCAAAAGCACCACATCTTCCTGCAAGGGCGCTGTGAGCCCTACAAAAGAAAGTAAGGAGCATTTCTTTGACCTTTACAGGAACTCCATAGAATTCTTTGAGGAGATTAGTGATGAGGCTTCCAAGTTAGTGGATAGACTTACACAGTCAGAAAGGGAGCAAGACTTAGTTTCAGATGATGAAAGTAGTAGTGCCCTGGAAGTTTCAGTAATTGAAAATCTGCCACCTGTTGAGACCGAGCATTCAATTCCTGAGGACATCTTTGACACAAGGCCTATTTGGGATGAGTCCATTGAGACTCTGATTGAACGCATCCCTGATGAAAATGGCCATGACCATGCTGAAGGTATTTGCCAGCCACTGGGATTCCCTGTGCTACGCATGTCATAAATTTGATATCGTTTTTTTGTATATCTTTTATTTGGTGATTTGTGTCTCATTTTCTTTAAGCTTTCTGTAGTGGTTACTGTGTTTGTGTAAGGCCTTTGTGTTTCGTGCTTTCTCTGTGTACTCTTGTCTCTGAAAACAATCTCAAGATTGAGTAATGAGAATGCTTATGGAAAACATAAACATGATAAACAGGCAATGGTGATCTTGCCTTTCTCGAGCCGCTGCACGTCAGGCCATGCAAGCTTTGAGTTTTGTTGTTCTGGAGTCCCAGGCTTAGCCTCAAATTTAGCACTTTTGCTTTTGCACATGAATACGTTGGGCTTTGTTTCATATGGTAAGGATTCATTGCTTTTTCTTCTTACCCTTAAGTATTTTAAAATAATTTGTACTCAATAAATTTGTAATCATTTAGGAAGCCATTTGCCCAAAAAATTTCACGTTATCACAAAATACCAGTTGTTGTGGATCTGTTTTTGATTCAAAAGGTTGGATCTCAGATACCACTGGTAAACACTTGAAGCAAACAAATATAAGGCAAAAAAAACCCCAAGCTTTTTGTTTTGGTGTTAGGTGAATGGAGAATGTACTCTGATTAGATGCAGCAGACAACAAAAACTCAAACTTTGCATGATGTAAGTGACCGGGAGAGGATGATGACCCTTTGAATTATAAAAAAGGAAACCATAGATGGCTGTGAGAAGTAGCCTCTGGTCTTCCAATATCTCTACAATAAAGACTATTATTCTTAAATTTGTGTCATAAGAAGTTGTCATGATGCCTAAAATGCTACCTGTCAATTAATGGGGGTTAAAAACCAATGGGAAAATTATAGTTTGTGGGAGTAATATATAAGCTTACTTAGTAGTAAGTAGACTGAAATTTCACACAAAAGACATCTATACCTATTGACACAATAGACACAAATGCATATGGCTTTATCCTCCCTTCTTCCAAGGTCACCAGGACCAAGGAAGATGTTTCTGGCCAGACTGAAAAAAACCCAGGATGGCCTGATTAACCCATGATCTATGTCTCTTATGAATCTTGGCTGTGATTTCTTTCAGACATGACCCGGAAGTGATCTATGCTGCCACAGGCAATAATAGGAGATCCTAACCAGTTACTCCACTTCTGCATCCCATTTATGATTTTTCTGGTTTTTGATGAACAAGATGATTGTCTTCTGGTGGGCAGTATTCTCTCAGATAATTTAAAAAGAAAATCCTAAGATTGCTAGAAATCAGCAACTTATATGTCCAGTGACTAGTCTTGATTAAAGAGATATGGAAGCAGTTGGTTTTCATGATTTATAATTAAATTGATTCCCCATTTCATTCCAGAAATCAGGCAAACACATAATTTAAAATGATTTGAAATATAATAGCTAATCTGTGCTATTATTAAATATTTGGACAAGTGACTTCCTTTCTTTGGATGATCAGTACTGTGGTTGCTCTCCTGTCATCGACAACCTTTGGCCATTCTGTTTTTGACCTTCTGTAGATCAACAGGATGAGCAGGAACGGATCGAGGAAAGGCTGGCTTATATTGCTGATCATCTTGGCTTCAGCTGGACAGGTAAAATTAGTGTGACTCATTTTCTCAAGAAAACTTGCTTCGTTTAAGTAACACAGTTGCATTAGCCAAGTGTCATTAACAATGAAAAGGTTTCTGAAAAACAAACTGAGGGTTCTAGAGGGGAGGGGGGTGGGGGGATGGGTTAGCCTGGTGATGGGTATTAAAGAGGGCACGTTCTGCGTGGAGCACTGGGTGTTATGCGCAAACAATGAATCATGGAACACTACATCAAAAACTAATGATGTAATGTATGGTGACTAACATAACAATAAAAAATTATTTAAAAAAAAAAACAATGAAAAGGTTTTTGTTTTTGTTTTTTTCTTTCTTTCCTTGAGGAAGACCATGTGGAATAGTGAAAAGAATAATAAACTCTGAACTAGAAAATCCAGGACAGACCTTTTATTATCTCTGGAATTTAGAAAAATAGAACTTTAAATTGGGGGACTTTGAGAATATACCAGATGTCACCATCCTCCTTTGGGAGCTATGGATATCCAAACTTTGAGGGGATTACTGTGTTTCAAAATCACTGTTAGGTGTAATTGTCACAAAATTTAGTTGGAGATTAAACCCAGGGCTCCTTATTTTAGATACCTTATATCAGATATCTTCATTGTAAACAGTACTAAAATTTGCTTTGGATGCATGTTGAAATACATAGGAATAAGATGTTTCACTAATTTTCTGAGAAATTAGGGTATTTAAGTATAAAAATTATAATGTATGTAAAATTATTTTAAAAAGTGAATTATAAAATCAATATGAGTAGAAATCCATAAGACCCTTAACAAAGATAATAACAGAGCAGGAAGAATAGTCATTTCCTCACTTTTAAACATTTTGAAGTAGTTGTTAAATACTGATCAGGTTTTTTTAATTGAGGGATTTAGGGGAAGAAAGGACATCAAAATATCCATGATTGACTAATTAAGTAGATGACGTTCAGAATTATTTGTTTCTTAAGTATGTGTGTGTTTGTGTAAAAGACGTAATATCTATATACTTGTTGAAAATTCAAGCCCCACAACCATACAGAATGGTGTAAAATGAAAAGTGTATGTGCTCGCTTCAGCAGTACATATACTAAAAGTGTAAATAAGTGTCTTTTACCTGCCTCTGGTCTTCTAGCTTCATGCCTCCAAAGTAACTGCTTACACTTTCTCATGTATTCAGGAAAAATAGGCCGTACCCACATCTATGTGTACTATTTAAAAATAAGCACAATTTTCCTCAATAATATTGCCTGTGAATATTCCATCAGCATAGACATATCTGTCTCATTCTTTGAAATATCTATTTAGTTTTACTGTGTGAAAGTATCATAATTTTTTTTAAAGATTTTATTTATTTATTTGACAGAGAGACAACAAGAGAGGGAACACAAGCAGGGGGAGCGGGAGAGGGAGAAGCAGGCTTCCCGATGAGCAGGGAGCCCGATGCGGGGCTCGATCCCAGACCCTGGGATCATGACCCAAGCCGAAGGCAGACGCTTAATGACTGAGCCACCCAGGCGCCCCGAAAGTATCATAATTTTATCAGTGGACTTTATTGCTGGACATTTAGGTTGTTAATGACAAACATCCTAGTGCATGGTGTATTTTCATGAGTATCTCTATAGGGCATATTAATAGAAGTAGAATTGAATATCTGGATAAAGGTTATGTATATTTTTAATTTTGAAAGATATTGGCCAATTGCCATCCAAAGAGGACTTATTTACACACACACACACACACACACACACACACTACAGTGTATAAGTGTCCATGTACAATGTTAATGGTAGATTTTAAAGGAAAATTTTGTGGCTTTTTCCCTAGGTCAATTAATGCTTCCCAGAGTTTTTATTCAAGTGACATCAAATTAAAGAAAGGAGCTTATCCAACCAACATAATATAACCACAGCCAGTATTTACCCAAGTATCCAGAAATAGGATTTACAGTACTTAAAACGTTAGTTAATGATGATTGAAAGTGAGAAAGTCTATTATTTCTGTTTTCAGTCATTTATTTTCCATTATCTTGGTTAAGAGTATAAGCCTGTGTTAATGGTCCAGTCTGCATTTTGGAATTAAATGGGCCTGAATTATACATGTTTTATCATCCATTGCCTCAAACTTAGTGTTTCCACTGTGAACGTGATCAATTCTATACCCAGTTTTAAGGAGAACATCCACAATTAGGGCTAGAAGAACAAAGGCATCTTGAGAGTCACTTCTAATACACAGGGCGAAAAATGAACCCTATTACAGCAATACAAAGAATGCATCATTTACAAAATCACAGAGCCAGGTGTGGAGACTCAAACTTCGAAGGTCAGGTGTTTATGGAGTCATATTTTCTTTTCTAGAATTAGCAAGAGAACTGGATTTCACTGAGGAGCAGATTCATCAAATTCGAATTGAGAACCCTAACTCCCTCCAAGACCAGAGCCATGCACTATTGAAGTACTGGCTAGAAAGGGATGGCAGGCAGGCTACAGGTAGGTGGGGAGCTCTATGTGAAAAGATTTAGGCTAAAGGTTGAGCTCTAAGTCTTGCTCAACAAGCCCTTTCCTGCAAATTTAGTAAAACAATAAACGAATGCCATCAATCTGAAATACTGCTGCAAGCAAATGAGAACAAGCTATGACATTTCTAAAATATGCATCTTGCATAACAATTCTTACACTATAGTCCCATGAACAATGTCAATTAGGGGAAACCCTGGCTGCTAACAGGAATGTTATTAAAGTCCTTAAATTTTCTAAGTATTGAGAGTGGACACCGTTACTTTGTCATTGTTTTATTGGTAGTGCATTGCCTTCAGTTCCTACTTCCTTTACTCCTAAATAACTTAAATGAGGGAAAGATGTCATGTAGATATTCTTTATAATGATTTGTATATAATATTCTGACCACAGCAAATCAAACGAGAAGTGATAAAGACCATTACTTCGTCTCATTCTTCAGCTAGTCTAAATTTGCCACTTCCTTTTATGTCTCTCTGAAGATCTACCTCTAGACCTCCTTTGTTTACATCCAGTCTACATTTGCCTTTTCTTCTCTTGCCATTCTTCTAGGTAGGATTGCCAGATTTGGCAAATAAAACTAGAGGACACCCAGTTAAATTTCAGAGAGCCAACAAATAGTTTTTTATTTTATTTTTTTAAAGATATTTATTTATTTGACAGAGAGAGACACAGCGAGAGCAGAAACACAAGCAGGGGGAGTGGGAGGGGGAGAAGCAGGCTTCCCACGGAGCAGGGAGCCCAATGCGGGGCTCGATCCCAGGACTCTGGGACCATGACCTGAGCCCAAGGCAGACGCTTGACGACTGAGCCACCCAGGCACCCCAACAAATAGTTTTTTAGTACAAGTACACTCCATGTGATATTTGAGATATACTTATACTTTAAAATTTGTTTGCTTGTTTTATCTGAAATTCACATTTGACAGTGTCCTATATAATATCTGGCAACTCTACTTTTAGGGCCTATGGCTATGCTGTCCCACCTTTTTATGCATATATCTTTCCTATTTGCTTATTTTTTACAAAGACCCTTAATTAAGCTTTGTTTCCTATACAAACATCAAAATTTTAGTAAGGCAACTAAATGAAAGAGATCTTAAAAAGAGTACCCCTCAAATGTAATAAATGCATTTTCTCTAATATCCCAGATACCAGTCTCATTGAATGTCTCACCAAGATCAACCGAATGGATATTGTTCATCTCATGGAGGCCAGCACAGAGCCTCTCCAAGAGCGCATCAGTCATAGCTATGCAGAAATTGAACAGACAATTGCACTGGATCATAGTGAAGGTCAGACAATTTGGGTGTGTGGGTGTGTGTTGTATCTGTGGTGAATTCGGGCAACTGGACCAAATCTTCCCTTTTTTTAGAGGGTGGTCGTATGGACTTTGGTGATCACACATTTTTTCTCATTTTATAGGTACCCATACTGCTCATTCTTGGTTATTTCACCATTGTCCTAACCATTTGGGACTGCTATAACAAAATGCCATAAACTCCGTGGCTTAAACAAGAGAAATTTATTTCTCACAGTTCCAGAGAATGGAAGTCAGAGATCAGGATGACAGCATAGGTTCTGGCAAGGGCCCTCCTTTGGGTTGCAGATGGCTGTCTTTTTGCTGTGCCCGCACATGGGGGAAAGAGAGCTAGCTAGAGAGCTCTTTGGCCGCTTCTTATCAGGGCGTTAATCCCGTTCCTGAGGGCTCTACCGTCATGACCTAGTTACAGCCCAAAGGCACCACCTCCAAATATTACCACATTGGGATTAGGTTTCATCATATGAATTTTAAGGGGATAAAAACAGTCATAACAACATGGATGACCTGTCCAGTGCCCTTGCCTCAGTTCCTTGATGGCACTTCTGATACTTGTGCCTTGTACTCTATGTTAGCTACCCATTTCAGTGCTCACAACCAAGACTGTATCATTACCATTGACTGTATTACTCCTGCGTCCTCACTTGAAGCATTACACTTCCTCTTTTGCTTCCACACCAACAATCCTTCAAACCCACTGGGACCTCCAGCCATTGGCCCTACCACCTTTTCAGTACTAAAGTTTCTCTAATCCATTCTCATTTATTCACATGCTCATTCACTCTCTTTCTTCTTCTCTCTCATCTCTCTTTTATACCGAGAATTCTCTTCTTCTTTCCAGCCTCCAACATTTTTCTCTTCTCCTTATTCAAAGCTGATGACCAAGCTTCATATTTCTTAGAAAAAGTAAGAATCGTCTGAAGCAAATGTCCATGTTCTTTCACAGAATCTACCAACCTAAGTGCATCTCAGGGCCTATACTCTACCTTCCCTCTGCTATGAAATATCTTTGCTAAAACCATCCTCTCTTCTTTTGTCCTGGATCTCATCCCTTTTTATCCAATTAAGGACATCACTGCTCTAGTCGTCCTCTGTGGCATCCTGCAACTAGACCATGCTCAACAGCGTTAAAACATGCCTTAATAGAGCCCATCTTTAAAAACAACACAAAGCCACCCCTTTCACCCCGTATTCCTCCCTGTGTCTCCATTCATTTTATAGAAAATCTCTTCAAAAATATAGTCTAAATGTCCTGTATCTGCTTCAGGTCTTCCTGTTCTCTCTAGAACTGTCTCTAGAATCCATGCCAGTCAGTCTTTTGTCATCACCACCCAACAGAAAACAATCTCATAAAATTCACCAATTATTTCCTCATTGCCAAATACAGTGAGTAATTTTTCAGTCTTTACCTCAAGTGCCCCTTCGTAACATTTGACCAAAAAATTAATCTCTTCTTAAAATATTTTCTTCACTCACTTTCCATGATACCCTCCCTTCATGTTTTTTGCCCTCTATTTTACTGACTATTCTTCCTCAGTTTCTTTCTGTAGCTTCTTTTCCTAGATTTAAATGATGGTGTGTCTTACTGTTTGGTGAAGGCTTGTCCTATCTCCCATCTCTCTCCTCGTTTTATAAATCCCAGAGACCTGGCCTCCCTGCTGTTCCCTGGGTACCCTATGCATTCTCAGGCTTTGGGGCTCTGCTACTTTTTGTTAACTCCACTCTAGAGTGTTCTTCTCTCAGAGCATCAGTACCTTTTTCTCTCACTTACTTCAGGCCTCTGCTCAAAATCATCTCCTAACAGGACTCTTTCCTGACCAATCTGTCTAAAATACTAGCCCTACTTGCTCTATACTTTTACCCTGGTTTCTTTTTCTCCGAAAATTTATCATAAATACATATCTGCAGAAATAAAAGTTCAGCGAGGACTTTATCTTGTACACTGCTGTGTGTCTAACATCTAAACAGCACCTACTACGTAGTTGATAATATAGATCTGTTGAGTGAATAAATTAATAGATGAATGTCAGTCATTTCTCTGCTAAAAATTTTTCAGTGGCTCCTCATTGCCTTGGCTATAATAAAATTCCTTAGCCTGGCTTGAGAGACCCTCCATAAAGAGGGTACTCGACTCAGAACGTTGTTAATACAACTTAATACTTGCGAAACACCTAGAACAGTGCCTGACACATAATCAATATTTAGAATATACTAGCTATTATTATTCTTAAACTCCAATTCTTCTTACCACTTACATTCTATGCTTCAGTATCACAGTCGATGCCTCCTTACCATTAGGCGGCCTTAAAATGTCACACTGTCTGCATTTTCTCTCCTAATTCTTTAGCCCTGAGTTGGGTGCTCCTGCGTTCATTGGCTGGCACTGTGGCCCAGTCACTCAGCATTTTAATAGACTCTTCCTTGCCCGAGATTCGCTCCGCTAGATGATCTGCATCTTGAAGATCAGCTGTGTAGCCATGGATCTATCACAGGGTGTGGCCCATCAATAGTTACTTAATCAATACCCATTTAATATAAGTGAGCTTCAATTAAATACTCAATTCAAATTGTTCTCCCCCGTAGGGTTCTCAGTCCTTCAGGAGGAGCTATGCACTGCACAGCACAAGCAGAAGGAGGAGCAAGCTGCTTCTAAAGAGAGCGAGTCCTGCGATCACCCTCCCATTGTCTCAGAGGAAGACATTTCTGTCGGTTATTCCACTTTTCAGGATTGCATCCCCAAACCTGAGGGGGACAGCTCAGCAACAGAGCCCTTTCCCCAAACTCACAAGGAGCAAGTTCAACAGGATTTCTCAGGGAAAATGCAAGACCAGCCTGAAGAGTCATCTCTTGAGTGTCAACAGGAGTACTTGTGAGTTTCAAAAGAAAGCCTGTCAAATGTCATTCCAAGAAACAAGCCCGTAGGACAAGAGCGCCAGGCGTATACCACTGGAAATTGTTGTCAAATAACCCCACCAGTAACAAGGGCCAGAACTACAGACAAAGAGCAAAAGATCTGAGACATAATTGTGACCGCATTGTGTGGGAGATCTGCTTGAACCAACTTCCGGTTCTGTGACCTTGGGCAAGTCCCAAAGCCCTTTTGGTTTCTGTTTCCACATCTCTAAATTATAGTAATTTACACCTTATTCATCTCATAGGGTCACAGGTCAAGGATGTGCCCATGAAAGCATTGTTTCAACTATAAAATTTCACGTGGACCTCACTCTTACTGCTTCTAAGAGTCCTGCCCCTCACTTCTCTGTAATGTTCTGATATGTGCCAGTTGTCCTACAGTTCGTTCAGAGCGTGAACGGTGACAGGTGAAGAGTGTAGGTGATAGGTGAAGCAGCCCTCAGTGTATTTCACCGAAGCGATGGGGTGGCTAACAGTACAATTGGAAACACAGCACAGATTATTCACACAGAATGAAAGACCATTAAAATAAGGTGGGATGGGGTCAGAGTGGGAGTAAAGGGAAGTTTTCCAGAAAGCTTCTGGCTAAAGGAAGCTACTACAGAGCAGGCAGCTCAGAACTCAAGTTCTGGGCTTTATAGAAGCAAAGGAGAAAGAGAGTTGTTTAAATGGCACTTGTTATTTAGAGAAAGAAAGGAGATCGTGCAAAAGGCAAATGCATCCCCAGCCCTGGAATCTGAGAATAGTGTGTCAGGAGATTGCATCATAGCATTTCTCTTGTCATTAAGTGAGCTTTGTGCTGGGGTCACTGGAACTTGAGAAGAGGGTGAAATGGGTAATAAAATCATCCCTTTTTCCACTGAGCCACCTACCAACTACCTGTAGGTTTTAGGGGAGAGCAGAAAGAGAAAGAAAAAGGAAAAGGTGGGAAGCAAAGAGGGCATATCAGAGAGGCACTTTGGGCACTTAATATCTATGAAGTGACAGAAATTTGCAATAAATTAAACAGAAAAAGCAGAGAATTTTCTTACTTAGAAAATGAGATTACAAAGATTGCCTTGGAGTAACACCAAACTATATCAGTAGAAAAAGTTTTAACCAGGTCTTTCCATCAAGTAATACAGTTTTCCAGAGATATAATAAGACTCTCCATATTTACAATTATGATGATATTAACATGGGGTGTATAGATTGGTTTCTGAAAGTTTTCCCCAAACTTTGATTCTGGCTTCGAAAGCCTTATTATTTACAGATCTTTGTTATATAAACCCCCTCAAATCTTCAAGATCACCTTGAGTTATCAAAGATGAAATTATAATTTATATACTTTGTAGAGATTAGGAAATAGTAATACATTTTGGGATAATTTTTATCTTTAGAATACATCTTTCCCAGTCAATGCTAGATCAGTGATTTGTAACTCTATATGATATCTTGCATATGATTTTTGTTCAACTTTCATTTCTTGGCCACATTTACAAAAGTTATTTTGACTTCCATGGACCATGAAGATAAATTCCATTTTTCCTTCTAATTCCCTTGCTTCGGCAGGAGGAGAAATGCATATGCTCTCATGGTATAGCTTGGCTTTTCCATTTCAGTGTGACAACCCCAGGGACGGAAGTGTCAGAGACTCAAAAGGCTACAGCTGTATCTGGCTCTCCCAGCAAGACCCCTGAGGAAATTAGGACCCCTCTTGAGGAGGAGAGGCCATACCTCCAGACCCCAACATCTAGTGAGCAGGGAGACTCTCCCATCATACAAGAACCCGAAGAGCCCCCAGAACATGGGGAGGAGAGTTCTCAGAAAACCAGCCTTGTGATAGTGGAGTCTGCTGATGACCAGCCACAGGCCCTTGAAAGACTCGATGAAGATGCAGCTTTCCATAAGGTAAGAGTCTCCTCCGTTTCCTTGCCCACAGGCAGCAAAGCTACAAACCTTCCCCAGTTTCCATTTCTCTGATGGCTTATTTTTTCTCTGAAAAAAAAATTAACCTGGGTCATGTGAACCCCTCAATCCCTTTTAAACCTGGGGACCAGAGAATCTAGAAAAAAAAATGATACACAGTCCAATTCTAGCTATTTGACCACGAGCCCTAATTTTACAATTGGAAAACCTTTTGCTGAGGAAAATGAACACCGGGGTGAAACAAGATCCCTGATGTGGCTTTTCAAAATTGATAACCATGGGCATGCAGACTAGTGAGAGGGAGTCACAGGGCCTCAGGTAAGTGCCGGCCATGGCACCGTATGGGAGCCAGACTCCGGTTAGATCTGTCCGTGCTGTCAGGTGATGAGCAGGCAGACAGACTGTAGATATCCAGTGGGGTTTACCTCCCCAGACAAATTTTTCTCATTAAAGGAAAGGTTATTTCCAAAATAGACCTCCTTATGTCTATTTTAAGAATGACTTTGACAGAGGACCTGGTACCTAAACTTACTGCTGATTCAGAATGTCAGAATCCCTGACAGGAGTAGGAGCTGACATCAGTCACGCTGTTTCCTTTGTCATTACATGCGTTTTGATGTTGCGAAGAAGTGTGGAGACCATCTTAGAAATTCATTTAAGCCACTTATTCTCAAAATGTATTCTAAACTGTTCATATTCCTCAGCATTAACAGCGGGGATTTGAGCCCTCCTCAGAGCTCCTGAATCAAAATGAACCTCAGAGAGGGAAGGGGGACCCAGCATGTGCATTTTAAATAACTCCCTAGATGATTCTCATGCACACACACAAAAAGGGCCAGAATCTGTTTGCATTAAACATAATTTAACATAAATTATATATTTTTCCTTCTAGAATTCAAAAACATTTTCTACATCAAAGTGTTTTTAAAGCATTAATATATGTGTCAGTAGTGAAGAATGAGTTGTATAAAAGAACTGAAACTTTTTGGGGAAATGAGTGATACAACTTATCTGTGAGCTTAAGGCCTACATTTATTTTTCTTCACTATGAGGATGACATCTGCTAGCAGGATTTGTCTAAAATCATAACTAGAATTAGGAGAGGTTCAGGCAAGTGAGAACTGTGTCCCAATTTTGGCACTTATCTTAAATAATGAATTCATTCCATGAATGGAATTTTATTTTAAGTTTACCTTTGCACAGAATTATTCATCTCCCAAGTTCTTGGCTTAAATGAATTCTAGTAAAAATGTTTCAAAGATGCTATCTGAACCCAGAAGCCTAAGAATCCACTGGCTAAATGAAGTATAGATTTCAAACAGTTATTTGGATAATTCATTTAATTTTTCAATGCACATAAAAATTTTTTGATAAGTCCTTCTGTACTCCACTTTATTCACAGGTCTGTTCCATTTATTCTTGATGAATATCTGATGATCTCTGTGATGCTTCCTATTTTGACCCTTAACTTCTCACGACCCTATCTTGAGGATCCAATTTCAGTCACTTTTCTTGCTGATCATATTTCTAGGTAGCAGATTCCTGAATGTATTTAAAGTATAATTTGGTTTAGATTTTACATGTTTCAGCAGAAAAGCATATAGAAATACATCAGATATTTAAAAATATGTTGAAAAAATTTCATTGAGTTTTCTTAAAAAAAAAAAAAACATCCTATTAGGAAAGAGTGATGTGATAGAATGCTCCCAAGATTTATGTTCTAATCTAAAATTATGTTTTTAGCTCCATCTCTGACTCTGGGCCAGACCCATAAAATCAGACTGGCCAGTGCATCTTAACTTCTCTGCAGAATGAGTCTAATGTTATTCATAGGCTGCCTCCTTTGGTGCCAGGGAGGTGCTCTGTGGGCTAGATAACAGCTATTAGGAAACTGTGTTTTTGCAGAAAGTTCTGCTACAAGCATAAGTTATTTCTCTACCTGTGGGTTAATCATTCCAAGCCTAAAGTCTGAGTGTCAATGGCTTATCAATGTTTTTTGTGCTGCTTAAGTTCTGTGTTTACATCTGGTCATTTATCAGGAGTTTAAGTCCAAGAAGTGATGTGGACAAGCTGCATATTTCTTCTGACAGATTTTGACAGATGGGCACTCAGACAGCTTTCAGAATTCCAGAATTTTTTTTTCATTGATTGAACAAAAAAACTATATTCTTATCAAAGTGTGAGACAGGCACACACCTGTTTGCCCTGCTGGCTTTTCCACCAAAGCCTCCAGGAATGAGACTTTCAGAAAACAAGTGTGAACTAAAGCAGAAACCAGTAGTGAAGACATTCCTCAGCATGTTAAACAAAACAATGCTTCCATGCTTCCACCAGGAGCTAACAGAGGAATTAGGTGAGCTGGAGGCCAGCTCAGATGAGGAGGCGATGGTAACTACCAGGGTTGTCCGCCGACGAGTGATTATTCAGGTACCAGCTGTTACCTTACTGCACGTCCGGGACACTTCTGTCCCCATAACCCGTAGAGAGTGATGGACCTGGAGCAGTGAGGGCTTGGCATGCTCTTTAGGTAGTGCATGGCCATTCAAAAGCAGATCCCTAACTCTCCTAAGATTGGTTTGTTAAAAACAATGCAGCGGTGATGACAGTGGCAGCCCGCGTCCAAGAGAACAAACAGCAAGAGCAAGAGCACTTCCTCCTTCCGCCCACCTCACCTCGCTTGTCCGTTTTTGTTTGTGCGTTTGTTTTACACCTAACTGTGGTCCAGTTCTCCTAAGCATGTTATTACCCACCCTTTTTTTTTTTTCTTTCTTTCTTTCTTTTAAACGTACTACTCGACAGGACTTGGCATCTCCGCAGTGCTTCCCAGTAGCTTCCTTCATTTTCTAACATGGCGCACCTTGTAAGCCCTTGGGAGGAGTTTCTCAGAATTGGTGCCAAACACTGAAGTGACCCTTTTTTCTCAACCATTTAGGGAGATGATATGCCTGACATACCCCCGGAAACAGTCACAGAAGAAGAATACATTGATGAGCATGGACACACTGTGGTCAAGAAGGTACTATCCTAATGTGGTTGATTTCGAACCTCCTGCTTAAAATGTATCTGTCCCCCGGTGCTGCCCCTCAAAAACAAGATCCATGAATAAAATATCTTTCAGGTCACTAGGAAAATCATTAGGCGGTACATATCCTCTGATGGCACAGAGAAAGAGGAGGTTACAATGCAGGGAACGGCCCAGGGACCCATCAGCATTGAGGAAGGAGATGGCTATTCCAAAGTCATGAAGCGCATTGTATTAAAGAGTGACACCGAACAGTCAGAGGTAAGATCATCTGATTCTCCAACCTGATTTTATGGAGAAGTCTGAAATGGAGTCGGAGGAGGTGGGTGCAATTGTTTACCCACATTGACCCACTGCTCCCCCTTATCTGGCACCCTGCTTTCAGTTTGCACATTCATTTTTTTCTTCATGATTTTGTGGCATTTTAAAACAACCACCGAGGAGATTTGTAGCCATTATACTCGTGATCTCTGTTTGGTCCTTCTTATTTCTGTTTTCTGTTATGGTTGTGTACATACAACAGAAATCCAAAAGTCAAATTTTAAGAGGCCAGAATCCCATTGGCTGGCAAACAGTATGTCACGGAAAGCCCCCGTACAATTGTGTCCTGGGCAGCGTGGCAGCCTCTGTAGGGCCCTGTCGATAAATATTTGATATTTAACCTTGTGCATTTCAGAGTCACTAAAGCCAGGGTCCAGAAACTCCCTGATCTATAGTTTTCTTTCTTTCCGTTCTACTCTCTTTGAGGAACGTTTGCTCTCTTTGACATATAATTTGTGACATCCTCACTGTTTTGCATTCATTCACATCCTCAAAATTGTTGTTATTATGCACAAAGTTTCTCCAGAAATCTACTTTTTTGGTTTGTCATATCTTTGAGAGTTTCTCCTTGGGGGATTAATTTCACCTTCATAATGCCAAAACCATTTAAACATGGAGGAAGGGTTCATCAACAGGCTGTTATGTCCGCATTGCGCTAAGCAATCGGTTTCTTATTCACAATACTTCCTGATGGATTTTCGTTCAGGTGACTCATGAGTGGTTGGTTTGGTCCTATGTACATAGAGTTCGTGACAGAGGCATTACCAATTGATTACAGGTTTTTTCTTTCTTTTTGTAACTGCTTCTCTTTTCCAAAATACTGTTTTCTGGAAGACTGGTATAAACCAGTGTAGGGTTTTGGTTTTTTTTACATAGAAAAATTCATCACTGTGATCTTGTGGCAGTCAGAAACCATGTATCATGTGTCCTTCATCCATTAGGTAACTTTGTCTGAGCCCAGCATTTTGTCCAGTACCTCACAATTTCAGGCTGAACCAGTGGAAGGCCGTAGAGTCAGCAAAGTTGTTAAAACAACTATGGTACATGGAGAGAGGATGGAGAAACATCTGGGTGATTCTAGTTTAGCCACTGATCTTCCTTCAGCCAAAGATGACTTTGAAGAGGTATAAAAGCATTATCACTTTTGTGTTTTCGTGTTGTGTATGTGTATTTTATGTTTGCTTTTTGTTTAAAAAGAAAATGGTTTATCATTATGTCATTCCATATATGTATTCATGGAAGGGTGCAGAATAATTCAAAAGGGTAGAATTCCTGTGTGAATAGCTTGTACAGTGAGGTAATGTTTCCACAACTTGTGGTATTCATCGTTAATCACCTTAAATGCTTTTAAAAATCTAGATGACCTAGATTCGCTTCAGCTGAATCAGAATCAGAATCTCTGGAATTAGGCCATGATTGTACGTCTTGCTTGGAAGACCCAGAAGTGACTTCCCAATTAATAAGAGAAAGAAATAAATAGGTTGCAAATTGTCTTTACTAGCTAATATTCTCAAATATTTCCAAAGATTGGCATTAAAGAAAATTCAGTTTTATTTTAAACCTAAAAATAAAATATGCATTTATAATTATTTAAGTTCTGATTTTCAGTAATTAGAAAATGGGTCCATGGCGACAGAGCCACAGACCCTTACTAGGATTCAAAAATTCAAAAATTCTGAAAACCAAGACTTGTAAATTAGTAGCAAGTTAATTTGGGAGTAAAATTTAATATGAACTGACATGGAGCTATTAGGACATGGAGGGGTTTTTAGTCCTACCTAGAATGAATATTCACATGCTTTGCTTTTGATATATTTATGAGATTGATTACAGGCTGCTGCCCCAACCCCTTCTGGAATATTAGAACATACAGCGTATGTATCATATTACCTTTCTAAAATCCAAAAAGAAAAAATTCTGGATTCTGAAACACATCTGGCCCCAAGGGTTTTGACTAAGGGATTGTGGGCATATGCAAATAGCTACAAAACATTTTTTGCTATTGAGACATTTTGAAGTTAAATGGTACATGTGTGTCCTCTTCTCTACCCACAATATGCATTGAGATTATTTATGAATGTATTGGGATATGAAAAGCATACCTTATTTAAATACTTTTAAGGAAAATATCTTGACCTTGGATAATCAGAAGATGAATCGTGTGAGTTGTACACTTTGGGCCTTATTCACTTGTTGCTTATTTTGCCTCTGATCATTATATTTATCAGTAGAGTCTCCCCTGGGGAAAGGAGGGTGAGATGAGGAGAAAATTAAAAGTCACTCAGTACGGATGTTATTTACGAGCATTTATAAAGCACTGTAGTACCTGTCCCTCACAAATAGGAGAAATGTCAATAAAACTCAATGCTTATACTTGATCCCGAAATTGTATTTATTTATCCTTTCAAGTATAGCTTTTTATACTTACTATCGATTAAGCACAGGAATAGATTATTTTTAAGTCTATGGTTTATGATGGGTTTTGTCCTGTTTTCTTTTTTCTTCAGGCTTTGAGTTATACAGGTAGCCACATGAAAGTGCACTTCCCCAGTTTAGTAGAGAATGAAATCCTGAAAGAGGATGGATCAGTAATTAAAAGGTTTGGGTTAGCATGGGGTTATGCTTTGCCAACTAACACCTGAAATTTTTTTTCATATTTTAAGAAAAGAAAAATAGCCCCTACATATACCCTAACATCCCTTGGGAACTTCCAACTCTCTCTGTATTGTACACTTTTGTCAAGTGGTAGATCTGTCAGTGTGTCATACCTATAGTGTCCTATTTATGCTTTGAAAGTAATAGCAAGGCTTGAGGAGAATGAGACACCTGTTTAAACAATCACTCCTTGGGTTTTAGCAAGTCATCCATTTTGCTGAGGTGGGATCTTCCACTGTGTTGATAGATTTGGAGCACATGTGATTCACAAATTAATCTTGTGACCAGCTACCTTCAGCTCAATCTTAGCAAATCATAACTGTGTGGTACATGCTTTGGGGTTGTTTTTTTTTTTTTTACCTCCTTCTAAAAGCTTTAAGCTGTTTCATGATCCCGCATGTGAATGGCAAATAACATGAGCATGAGTTTGATATTCACAAACCCGAATGTACCTATAGCAATGCTGAAACCAGGGACTCTACTAAGTTAAGAAAGTGCCATAAAAGCAGTAAGCAGCTCACTTTTGCGCCTATGAAAGGGGACCAGCTGTGAAACTCTCTGGTTAGCCCGTCCCTATTACCTATTTGATGTATGAACGTGAGCACCCTTGCCTCTTGCCTCATCTCCTGGCCCTTCTCTTTGGTCCTCTAGCAGGAGGACCATGCTAATAAAGTGCCCTCCACTTCTCAGGGAAAAGACACAATGGAAATTCAAGTTACTATTGTGCTTTTCACTTCATTGTGAAGAAGAAAAAGATTGTCATTTATAGTACTCTACAAAGCTATTTTTAGCCTGTAGAACATAATAATTAGGAACAGTGAATTAAAGGTTCTGTCACAATTCCGCCCTCCAATCACATGGGAACAACAGCAGCAGCTAAGAATTTAAGAGTGTAATTGCTCAGAGAACTTTAAAAATGCTACGTAAATTAAGGATAAAGTGCCTTTTATACTCTGAACTTTTAAGTCTTTTATTCAGTTACTCAAACAAAACCACATAAACCATGTACACACATGATCATGTGTGTTAGATCTCACGATCTAACATCATGAGATCTTTAAATTGGAATACATTTAGAGAGCAGTTAATCCAAAGTTCTCAGTTACAGCTGGTGAATTTGAAGCCAGGGATATAAACAACTCAATTAAATTCTATAGCTATTTAGTTCCGGAATGTATTTGTCATGTATAACACTTTTATCTTGTATGAAGACATTTTATCATACCCACTGCCCCTCTGATATGCATATGAGTAGATTCATTCCATTGCTTGAGTTATATGCATATGCATACTCATAAACACATTCATCTACACATATCTGCACAAAATATCAGGGTTTGCCCTGTGATAGAAGCTTATTGCCTACCCCACCCCGCACACACACACCGATTAATGAAGGCTCCTCTTAGCTCTTGGCAGAAATAATCAGATATTTGCCTTTTGGGAGAAGAAAAATATGGGTGCTGAATAGTTAGAAAAATATGATCTGATTTCAATCACTGCAACCAAATTTGACATTCTTATTAAGAGGAACAAATTTAGTGTGCCTGGATGGCTCAGTCAGTTAATCCTCTGACTCAGGTCATGATCTCAGGGTCCTGGGATTGAGCCCTGCATTGGGCTCCATGCTCAGCAGGGAATCTGCTTGAGGATTCTTTCTCCCTTTCTCTTCCCCCAGCTCTCTCTCTCTCTCTCTCTTTCAAATAAAAAAAAAAAATAAATAAATAAATAAAATTTTTTTAAAAGGAACAAATTTAAGTTTGCTTTTAGATATAAAATAATTCATATGGTATCAAAGGAAGGAAGAGAACAAGAGAACGTGAGAGAAGAAGGAAGAAGGAACCCAAAAGAAAGCCGAAAGTACTTTGGCTAATAAAAGTCTTTAAAAAAAAATCAGGATGATCTTCAATGCATGGCAGTGTTAGAAGGTAGAATAATGATAAGGACAGAACCTCCAGCTTCTTAACACTAGGAATCCATAAGAAAATTGCTGGGTGAAGTCACAAAAACTGCTCATTTCTTCTGTGGTTTTCAGTGAAGATGCATGGTATCGTGGTTACGGATTCAGGCTCTGGAATCTTGGAGTCTTGGCCCCACTTCATACTAACTGTGTTATTTTGTATTTGGAGCATTGCTTAAAATCTCTGAGATTCATTTTCCTTATTCATTATAATAATAGTGCCTGGCACATAAAAATGTTCACCACATATTTACGGAATGAATAATTATATTTAGAAGTAGTGAGAAGGAGAGGGTGTACAAATTACAGCATAATCATGTTCAAGTAGAGAGACGGGAAAATGGTAGTACAAAATAACACAGAACATCAGAACCCCTTTTGTCGACTAATCACTAGTCAGGAGGGAGCCAAGAAAGCAGCAGACTGTTCAATGGCATAGAAGACCAAAAATGGGCAAAGTCCATGGAGATCTGAGCAGATGGAGGAAGAATTTGTCTCTTGGTGTGTTTTCTCTTTCCTCTATCTTCCCCACCATCTCTAGATGAAGTTTTGACGCCTGGGCAGACCCTCATCTCTCACTGGTAGTCACCTTCCTCTAGGCTGATAGAATAAGATTCTGGTTTTTAAAGATCCGTGTCTCATGGAAAAGTTTTCCTAGAACAGGATGCAACTCTAAGGATTAAGCTGGCAGCTAAAGTGTTTAAAAAAATCAAAAACTATTTTTCTCAGCCTGTCAAAAGGTACATATGGAATCCCTGTTTCAGGATAAGCCGAGCTCGCTCTTCCTTCCTTCCTTCCTTCCTCCCTTCCTTCCTTCCTCCCTTCCTTCCTTCCTTCCTTCCTTCCTTCCTTCCTTCCTTCCTTCC